CAAAGGCAAATATAAATAGGATGAAGTCTTGTTGTTCATTATTTGCCATAATAGTTTCAGACAGAGGAGCATATTAACTCAGGCCAGAATTATTGGCATTTGACAAAATCTAGTGAAGCCAGTGTTATGTTTGCAAAGGATTTAACCAGGATGCTCTTAATGCTTAGCCAGCTAACACTTGAAATATAACCCAGATGAAGTCTTAAAAACCGATAAATCCAACTACATAAATGTTAAAAAAGAAAGAAAAGAAACTTTTACGTGGCAAGTATAAGGAAAGTCAAAATGACACACCAGGAGAAAGTATAATATATATCAAAGATAAAAGACTAATATGGTTAATATTTAAAGAATTCTTTAAAATTTGAAAGAGGAGCACCTGGGTGAGTCAGTTGGTTAAGCATCTGACTCTTGATCTCAGCTCAGGCCTTGATCTTATGGTTGTGAGTTCAAGCTCCACATTGGGCTCCACACCCAGCATGGAGTCTACTTAAAAAAAAAAAAAAAGTTTAAAATTTGAAAGAAAGACCAAAATTCCAATAGCAAACAGGGCAAAAAAAAAAAAAAAGAATGAACATATAATTCACAAAAAAATGAAATAAAATGGCCCTTGAAACGTATGAAAAAATGTTCAACTTTACTCATCATGAAAGAAATACAAATTGTAACTACGCTAAAATGGCATCTTTACCCATCAGATTGGCAAAATTCAAAAGCTTGACAATGCACCGTATTGGAGAGGACGTGGAGAAGTTGGAATTCTCATACATTGTTGGTGGAAATCAAAATGGTAAAGACTTCTGGGGATAATTTGACAATATCGAACAAAATTAGATATATATTTAACCCTTGCCCTAGCAATCCCATTTTTAGGGATTTATCCTGAAGATATGTTTCCAACAACATGAAAATACATATGCACATGGTTATTCATTGCAACATTATATGTAGCAGCAAATTCTTGGAAACTGCCTCAATGCCCATAATCTGAGACAGAATGAATTAAATGTGGTACATCCACAAAATGAAGTACTAGGCAGCTGTAAAAAAAAAAAAAAAATGAGAAAGAGCTCTAAAAACCATCATGGAATGATTTCCAAAATCTATTAAGTAGAAAAAAATAAAATGCATATGCGATATGCTATCTTTTGTGTAAGAAAGAGAAATAAGAAGATATCCATATAAATCTGCTTATTTTTGCCAAAAAGAAACAGAGGAAGGGTAAACTAGAAACTAAATAAAACAAATAACCTAATGGGGTGGGTCAAAATGTTTTCATTGTGGGAGAAGAGAGATAGAAGTAAGGAATGGAGAAAGGCCAGTGGATTGTTTCCCAGGTGGCCAGAATGAAGTACCACAGAGTGGTGGTTAAACAACAGGCATCTACTGTCTCACGGTTCTGGAGGCTGGAAGTCCAAGATCAAGGTTGGGTTGGTTCCTTCCAGGGCTGAGAGAGGGAATCTCTTCTGGCCTCTAGCCCAGCTTCTGGTGATTTGCTGGTCATCGTGGCATATCCTGCTTGTAGAAGCATTTCCCTCATTTCTGCCTTCATCCTCACAGGGTTTTCTCTTCTGGGTCTGTGTCTAAATTTCCTCTTTTTATAAGGATGCCAACCATATTGGACTGGAGTCCACCCTAACGACTTCATATGAACTTGATCATCTGCAAAGACCCTCTTCTGAAATCATGTCACATTCACTACTGGGGGATTAGGACCTCAACATCTTTTGGGGGGAAATAGTTAAAGCCATAATGGTAATGAAAAACCTTGTGATGTTGGATTGGGAGGAGAGGTATCGTAATGAACTCATGCTTTAAAAAAAAAAAAAAAATCAATTTCCAAGCTCAGCCTCTAAGTCTCCTCAGCAGTGGCAAGCACAACAACATCCAGATCTTGGTTCCTAAGTACCATTCTCCATTAAAAGGGACAAGGATTTCTTAGAGAAATAAATGATTTCAGGGCTGAGAAAAGAAAAGTACAAGATGAGACCAGACTTTTTGCTACACCTGAGAGTAGAGGAAGTGATATATAAATGGTGGGGGCATGTCAACAGCATGGTCCGCTTAGAGAGGATGATCCTGGCCAAAGCTGGGACAATCTGATCATCCAGAAGGATGACAGCAACGGGTGATAACACATGGAATCAACAAGAATGCACGAGTCCATGCTGATCCTAAAAATGAAACAAACATACAAGTAAGTTGGGGGAGACGGGAAAGCTTTTCTTTATAGCAGAAAGACAACAAATGTAGAAAGATGAGAGCTTGAAAAACAGTTCACAACCATCATCAAACAACGGATTCAAACAAGAATTCTGAAACCATTGAGTGAATGTTGGGTAACCAGATTTTTAGTCTCAAAGTATCTCCCCAGAGACTACTTAGTAATTATAAATAGAAAAAGGGGGTCTTGGCTGGCTCAGCCAGTTAAGTGTCTGACTCTCGATTTCCATTCCGGTGGTGATCTCAGGGTTGTGGGATCGAGCCCCACCTCAGGCTCCACGCTCAGTGTGGAGTCTGCTTCTCCCTCTCCCTCTCCTCCTCCCCCTGCTTGTGCTCTCTCTCTCTCTCAAATAAATAAATAAATAAGAGAAACAACCGATATCTTTGCCATGGAGAAATCTAGAGGGCACCACCTTTGCCAAGTGCTCAAAGTAAACATGAACGTAACAGTCTGACGTCACATGCCTCCTAGGTGTAATGCGTGGAGAAGAACAGGAGGTCAGTCAGGTAGCATTCCTGCCAAAATAACGCAATCTGAATCAAATCATGAGGAAATAATCCAACAAATGCAAATTGAGAGACGCTCTCAAAATAACAGGTTTGTATTCTTCAAATACGTCGGTGTCATGAAACACAAAGAAAGGCTGAGAAAATTCTCCAGATTAAAGAATGAGATATTTTTTACAGACGCTTATAAATTTACCCTAAAATTTACATAGAGGTATAAAAGATCCTTGATTAGGTAAATCAACTTTTTTTTTTTTAAGATTTTTATTTATTTATTTGACAGAGAGAGCTAGAGAGCACAAGCAGGGGGAGAGGCAGAGGCAGAGGGAGAAGCAGGCTCCCCACTGAGCAGGGAGCCCGATGTGGGACTCAATCCCAGGACCCTGGGATCATGACCTGAGCAGAAGGCAGACCTTAACAGACTAAGCCACCCAGGCACCCCGTAAGTCAATTTACAAAACCGAAAGGAAAGAAGATTGACTTTAAGATTGACCTAAATTAAGACAGACTACAAAGCCATTTTAATAAAAATAGCACTAAAACAGATAGACCAAGGCAAAAGAATGGAGCACTCAGACCCATTAATATTTGGCAACCTAGTACAAGAATTTGGCATCACTATCAATAGGGAAGAGATTATATATGTAAATATGTATTTAGGTAAATGGTATTGGGAAAACTGGTTCCTTATAGAAAAACCAAACAAACAAACTTGTTCCTTACCTAACACCATATAATCTATTCCAAAGATACACTGGCACTTTACAAGAAAGAAACCTGAAAGGCAAGCAAGCATACTGTGTTAAATTCATCAGTAATCAGAGAAAAGTAAACAAGAAAAACAAAATTTTGGTTTCCCACACCAAAGGGCCAAATAAACCAGGCGCTGGGGAGGGGCAGGAAGTGGGTAAAGGCTCCTTATGCTGTGTGGTCAGAGTGTGAATTTTGTGCAGCCATCCTCTGGAGTGATCTGGAAAATTTTTTAAAAAGATTTTATTTATTTATTTATTTATTTATTTATTTATTTATTTATTTATTTATTTATTTGAGGGAGAGAGAGCAAACACGAACAGCAGGGGGCAGGAGCAGAGGGAGAGGGAGACGCAGACTCCCCGCTGAGCAGAGAGCCGATAGGGGACTCGATCCCAGGACCCTGAGATCATGACCTGAGCCGAAGGCAGACGCTAAGCCTCCCAAGTGCCCCTCACCTGGAAACTTTTAATCGAATCGCTTAACCTAATTCTAAATGAGGTTAATCCAGTATACGACCCAGCGATTCCACCTCTCCACTTTTGGACAAGGATGTTCTTTGCGGCCTTGTCTGTGGTCCCGTCCTCAGGGAAGGTTGTGACTGATTCCAGGTCTAGGTAGGTCAGATCAGATTCACAAGCAATCGAAGACATCAGTCAGGTTAAAGGACAACACCCAACCTGAAGAAACCCCTACAGGCCAAAGATAAGACAATTTGCACATTAATAAGGTTGATCACTGCAACCGATGAAAACAATCAAATGTATTTATATTCATGAATTTATAATCATACCAAAAGAACAAACAAGCAAAAACAGTACTGATTACCCCTTAGACAATACTAGGAAACCGCTTCATTATTTTGAAAATGGATAAATAAGGGTAAAGAATTAAGTATTTTTCCTGCTTTCCTGATATGAATTGTACCTGAGTTAAACCAAACAGGTAATGAAAAAATGTTTCTCTTTATTTACATATTCCAACTAATAAACAAACAAGGAATGATAGAAATTAAAATATCACTGTTATGGCTTGAATTTTGCTCCCCCCCACCCCCAAATTCACATACTGGAGCCCTAGCCCTCAGTGTGGAGGTAGGGCCTTTATGGAGGTGATTAGGGTTAGATGAAGGCCTTAAGGTGAGGCTCTAATCTAATAGGACTAGTGTCCTTATAAGGAGAGGAAGAGACACCAGAGATCTCTTTTATCATGCTCACAGAGGGAAGGCCTCATGAGGATACCACAAGCAGGGGGAGTGGGAGAGGGAGAAGCAGGCTTCCCGCGGAGCAGGGAGCCCGATGCGGGGCTCGATCCCAGGACCCTGGGATCATGACCTGAGCCGAAGGCAGACGCTTAACGACTGAGCCACCCAGGCGCCCCAAGAGTCTGTTTCTTGATTTATCTCTCTCTCTTTTTCCCCTTTGCTCATTTGTTTTGTTTCTTAAATCCCACATGAGTAAAATCATATGGTATTTGTCTTCCGCTGACTGACTTATTTCACCTAGCATTCTACCCTCTAGATCCAACCTAAATGAAGCTCCAGAAGGGTTTTTTAAAGACCGATGATGACTGTCTACCACGGACCGAGGAGTGGATCAACATCATCCTCTGCACCTGAAGTCCAAGGAAAGAGAAAAGATGGGAGATGGAAAAGCCTGAGGATGCACAGAAATTCCTGTGGCCCCACCGCTCAGGAAAAAGCATTGTTGACACTTTGGTGTTTCCTTCTAGTGTTTTCTCTACACTTACAGAAATTGACCCTTTCCTTTTCACTCATTCCCAGACTTCAGAGATACATAGAAATTCCTTCAAATTCTGGATTACCCATTTTATTAATGGTGTTATTTGGGGCAAGATGCTTCCTCTTGTCCAGTGTTAGATTTCTCATTCTGAAAAATAGGAACGATCATAACCAGCCTCTTAAGATTGCATGATGATGAAGTAAAATGATCGCTGTGAAAAGCATCGGACATCACTGGGAACCCAGCAGGGACTCGGTAATTCCAGCTGCTTTTCTTCCTAGAGGTTCACTGGGGTAGCTCCACCAGGTACTTGGCACAGAGTCGTGCAGACAGAGGCTGATGATCAGTATTTGTCAAACTGAAGGGAACTGAGTTGTGACAGAGCCAGACCTCACATTTGGTTTTTCATCTCCAAGCATCTCCCTTTTCTGCCAGGATGTAGATACAAAAAAAAAAGGGGGGGATGGCATGCACTCTGCATTTTTTCCTGTGTTCCATTCTCCGGGTTCTATGTGCAGGGAAAAGGAGCTCATTTATTGGGCCCCCCAATTCTCATGGCGGTGGTAAGACACCCCAAAAATGTTTTTGTTTTTGTTTTTGTTTTGTCATCTGCAGTGTTTTCCAGGGAAGAGTTCAAAGATGTGGAAATCGACAGAAATGCTGTGAGAAATCTTGAAAAAGGCTTCCTGGCTGCAAGGAATATGCAGGTTCACTCTTGAGGACGCAAAGGCTCCCAGAGGTGTCCTGTCAGAGTCTCTGTTTCACATGAGCTCTCCTGGAAGTCACCACACGTTGGTAACGTGTCGTTTTCCTGACACACTATGGGGTGGCCGGGGTTAGAGCTGGGGACAGGCGCCCAAACAGTCATGACCCCAGCGTGGCTGGCTGTGGGGCTCCCAGGCCTCTGCATCAAAGCTGTGCTCACCAAGGGGCCAACGGGTCCTGTGAATGTTTTCAGTTCGTGTTTTGCCTTTGTTGTTAGGAGAAGTTGTAGGCTCTGTTGGCATTTGTGAATCGCAGACTTTTTAGAAATTTCTAGAACATGGGCCTTGTGGGTCTCAAGGGCCTGCTTGACATCTGGCTATGAGGTGACGGCACTAGGTCACATAGGCAGGACCCCCACAGCAGGGTACAGGTTAGAGCACCAGAAAGCTGAGGCGGGGGTCAAGGATTCTTTCCTTCCCTCCCAGAAATATCAGAATGGGCCATGAAAGGAGTTCATGGGCATCTATTTCTTCAGTCCTATTTACTTTTATTTTATTATTATTATTTTTTAGTCCTGTTTACTTTTTTTTTTAAGATTTTATTCATTTATTTGAGAGAGAGACAGCACGAGAGAGCACAAGCTGGGTGAGGGGCAGAGGGAGAAGCAGACTCCCCTATGAGCAGGGAACCCGACACGGGGCTCAATCCCAGGACCTGGAGATCACGACCTGAGCTGAAGACAGACGCTTCACCGACTGAGCCCCCGGGGGGTGCCCCTGGAGTCTCTTCTTGTCTCTGTTGAGCAGGTCTTCCTTCTTTGGTGTGTCTGCTCTGCTTGGTTCTCATCATCATGGTGCTCATGGTTGCTTCTACCTGTAATAGAGCCATGACAGCCAATGTTTGTAAATCATTCCAGAGCTTAGAGAGCTTTGGTCCCGGACAGGTGGCTTGGTCTTTCTTAATCTGGAAAGAATCTTTGCTGAGGGCTGTAGTTGGATCTCAAGGAAAGAGGAGTGCTGACTCGCGCACAGCTGTGTCCACAGACACTCACGGAGGACCAGCTAGGACCAGGCTCTGCCTGATGCGGAGGGGGACAGAGTCCAGTGGGAATTCCTGCTTCCTTAGAGCAACCCCAGCTGACCCAAATAACAAGCTCTAGTTCCAGTGCTAACTAGTTGTTACTAACTAGCATGTGCCCTTGGCAAGCCGCATCCCCTCTTGGGGCTTCAGGAACCCTCCGAGGAGCGAGAAGCTGGACTGGACAACACAGGTGGCTCCCCTCCGTCTCTCCCAAAGTCCATCCAGTTAATAAAGGCCATGGCCGGGCCAGCCTGGAGGCTGGCTCTATTCTAGGTCATCTCTTTTCAAGAAGTAGACAAGGAATAGACTTTGCCCAGGGCTGCAGAGTGTCTTCAGGGTAAGTGTTGCTCTAGTCTTGTTTCGGATTTTTAATAAACACTGAAGAGCAACCCTCCCCCCACCCCGGGGGCTGTGCCGGAGCCCGTTGATTGCTAACCCAGTGCTTGCTTGCTTATTAAGGCCACAAGTGCTGGGAACAGCAAAGGAAAATGAAATCTCGATAAAAATCATGGGCTCTCTGGAGCACAGACCTTTATCAAATCCTACTCTACTGGTAACATCTCAGGACACAGAGAGGCTTTTGCTCTATTTTTGGAACTGCAGGGAGATTTAAATCAATGGCCATTTGTTGAGTGTCACCTGTGGCAGATAGTTTGGGGTGACTGAGCCTCAGCCTCGTATGGGAATCAGACGTGGCCTACACTTGAATAGCACTTTCCAGTTTACAGAGCATATTCACAGGGTCTCAGTTAATCCTTACTACAACACTGGGAGGAGCTAGAAACTCAGAGAGGTGAGGTGATTTCAGTAAGGAGAGGCCAGTGTTAAACAGGAGGGCCTCTGCCTCTAGATTCAGGGTGTTTTGGACTGTATCATGCGACATTGATACAATTAGATTGTTTGGGGACACAGCCTGGAGAGTTCAAAAATGTATTCTTATTGTTCTTTATGAAAGGTTCTTGGAGGTGTTAACCTTTGATATAGGTCTTAAGATGAGTATGATTTTTTTTTCCTTTTTTACTATTTGGATAGGTCATCATAGATTTGGAAAGCGTAGTAAAATGCAAGAACCAAACTAACAAACAAAACAAAAGACTTATAATCCCAATACACAGGTGTTGCCACTATACATGATGTACATTGTTCCTTCCAGTTTTTTCTTTGCATTTTTTTCTTTAGTTGAAATCACACTCTTTTTTCTTTTTTTTTTTAAGATTTTATTTATTTATTTGACAAAGAGAGACACAGCGAGAGAGGGACAACAAGCAGGGGGAGTGGGAGAGGGAGAAGCAGGCTTCCAGCTGAGCAGCAAGCCCGATGTGGGGCTCGATCCCAGGACCCTGGGATCATGACCTGAGCCGAAGGCAGACGCTTAACGACTGAGCCACCTGGGCACCCCTGAAATCACACTCTTGACATAGTTTTAAACTGTTTTTCTCTTTACCTTACATTTTATCACATATAGTTTGAATGGGTTGAACTCCAGTAGGAAGTGATGGTGTGTGATTAGGGAATGCTGTGCTAAGAACTAAGCTGGAGAAAAGGTGTGGGGACAGGGAAAGGCAAGGCATATTCAGGAAACGGTGAGTAATTCTTTGAGGGGACAGGGAAAGGCAAGGCATATTCAGGAAACGGTGAGTAATTCTTTGAGGCTAACCTTGTGGGTCAGTGAGGAATTGCATCGTAGCAGGGAGTCTGGAAAGATTCAGTGTCAGATGGTGGAGAGACTTGAATGGCCCCTCAAGGAATTTGTATTCTCATTAAAGAACACTACACTATACATTGTACACATTTAGAAACATACAAACAAGAGCGTTTAGAAATAATTCACAATCTGCACAAATAGAATTGCTATTAATGTTTGATACATGTAAAAACTTCCAATGTCTTTCTGTACACAATTATCTTCTTTTTTCCCCAAAGACACAACACACTGATTCTTTTCTAATCTGATTATAATTCCACAGATGTCTTTCTTGGTCATTAAAAATTCTGTTGCAATAATGGTTTTTAAACATTTGATGCACTGGGAACTCTGTGTTTAAACAAAATCCTACCAGGAACCACAAAAGCCAAAAAGGATAAAAATAAGGCTACTGTGATCAGAGCATGAGTGAAGGTCCTGATGCCTGCTTGACCCTGGAAGACACCCTGACCCCATTCTGAAAACCACTGTTCCATCACATCATTTTTATGGCTGCATGGTAAGAATATAGCACCATCTAGTTAATCAGTCAGGTTGGTTGTTTCCAATTTTCTGCTTTGTAAATTGATACTACATTCTTTGAGCACATCCCGTAATTATTTCCCAATGAAGGTTTTTGAACATGGGCATGACATAATCAGAGCTATTAGTGTGAATGCCAAATACAGTAAAATCTGACTTAACTGGAATTCAGCTAACCACAATCCTTAACTAGCCAATTTTCTTTTACTCAACTTTGGGAAACAGAGGAAACTCCCTCTCTTCCTCCCTTCCTCTTTTTCTCTCTCTCAAACACACACACACACACACACACACACACAGAGGGAAAGAGAGAAAGAAAATTATGAAATAGGGATAAATTTAACAAATCTGTAAATGTACTCTGAAAACTATAAAACATTACTGAGAGAAATTAAAGATAAGTATAAATGGTGACATATACCATATTCATGGACTGGAAGATTCAATATTGTTAAAATACCAATTCTTACCTCCTTCCTCCCCCAAATGCCAGTTCTCCTACAAACTCATCTATAGATTAAACACGATGACATTCAAAATTTAGCAGGGTTATTTTAAAATTCAGTAAGCAGAATTTAAAATGTATGTGGAAATCCAAAATAATACTGAAGAAGAGCAGAGTTAGAGGACGTACACTATCTAGTTTCCAGATCTACTATAAAGCTAAGAGTAATCAAGATAGTATGGTACTGAACTAAAGGTGACATATAATATAGACCAATGGAATAGACTAGAAAGTCCAGAAAGAGACCCCCACAAAAATATGGTCAATTGATTTTCTAGCAAGATGCCAAGACAGTTAAATGGGGAAAGGATGATCTTTTCAATAAAAGGTGCTGGAATAATTGGTTGGTTACATGCACAAAAATGAACTAAAACTATAAAACTTATTTAAAAAAAAACAGCAGAGAATATTTTCTTTTTATATTGTAGCAATTAAAATTTTTTTTATTAACATATAATGTATTATTTGTTTCAGGGGTACAGTTCTGTGATTCGTCAGTCTTACACAATTCACAGCACTCACCATAGTACTTACCCTCCCCAATGTCCATCACCCAGCCACCCCATCCCTCCCACCGCCCTCCACTCCAGCAACCCTCAGTTTGTTTCATGAGATTAAGAGTCTCTTCTGGTTTGTCTCCCTCTCTGGTTTCATCTTGTTTCATTTTTCTCTCCCTTCCCCTATGATCCTCTGTCTTGTTTCTCCAATTCCTCATATCGGTGAGATCATATGATGCTTGTCTTTCTCTGATTGACTTATTTCGCTTAGCATAATACCCTCTAGTTCCATCCACATCATTGCAAATGGCAAGATTTCATTTTTTGATGGCTGCATAATATTCCAGTGTGTGTGTGTGTGTGTGTGTGTGTGTGTATCACATCTTCTTTATCCATTCATCTGTTGATGGACATCTAGGCTCTTTCCATAGTTTGGCTATTGTGGACATAAACAGCAGAAAGTCTTAATGACCTTGAATTAGGCAAAAAATTTTTAAGTAGGACACATAAAAAAATCAATACTTTGGACCATCAAAATAAAAAATATGTGTTGTGTTTTTTTTTTTTAAATATGTGTTTTTTGAAAGCACAATTAGGAAAATGAAAAAGCAAGCCACAGACTGGAAGACTATGTTAGCAAAACATACATAAAATAAAGGATTTGTTTTCACAAGGTATAAAGAACTCTCACAACTCAATAACAAGAGTTATTGAGTTAAAATTAGGCAAAAGATTTGAGTAGACATTTTATTTTAAAAATATAGATGCCAAATAAGCACATGAAAAGATGTTCAACATCATTAGTCATTAGGGAAGTGTAAATTTAAACCAAAAGGAGATACTACTACATACCCATTGAAGTAGATAAAGCTTAAAAGATTGATAATGCCAAGGTTTGGCTACAATGTGAAACAACAGTTTACATTTACTTACCAAGTTAAACATTCACTTACCATATGACTTAGAAATTCTACTCTCGGGTATTTTTCAAGTGAAATGAAAACATTATGTCCACACAAAGATTTATACATGAAGACTCATAACAGCTTTGTTTGGAGTAGCCCCAAACTGGAAGCAATCCAAAAGTCCATCAGTTGATAAGTAGATAAAGAAAAATCTATATCTTAATGTAATACTGCTTAGCAATTAATAGGTATGAACTACTCATACATACACCCAATACGATGGATGAATCACAAAAGCATTACTAAGTGAAAAAAGCCAGATGCAAAATGAATACACAGTATGTGTTTTTTTAAAGATTTTATTTATTTATTTGAGAGAGAGAGTGAGCGATTGGGGGTGGAGGAGAAGAGGGAGAGGGACAAGCAGACTCTGCACTAAGCACAGGGCTTAGTGATGCAGGGCTAATGCAGGGCTCAGTCCCACGACCCTGAGATCATGACCTGAGCCGAAACCAAGAGTCAGATGCTTAACCAACTGAGCCACCCAGGCGCCCCTACACACTGTATGTATTTATATGAAGTTCTAGAAAAGTTCTAGAAAAGGCAAGTCTAGAGGTGCTGGGTGGCTGAGTTGGTTAAGTGCCTTCAGCTCAGGTCATGATCCCAGGGGTCCTGGGATTGAACCCTGCATCCTCAGGCTCCTCCTCAGTGGGGAGTCTGCTTCTCCCTCTCCTTCTGCCTCCTCCTGCCCCCTGCTCATGCTCTCGCTCACTCTCTTTGTCTCTCTCTCAAATAAATAAATAAAATCTTAAAAAAATAAAAGAAAAGGCAAGTCTATGGTGATGATAGCAGATCAGTGTTTGCTAGGGGTTTGGGGCTTAGAGATAGGAACTGACTGCAATGTTCTAAATCATTTTTTGGTAGTGGATATATACATATATATGCCAAAACTCATCATGTACACTTAAAATTGTGAATTTTATTGTAAATAAATTATACTTCTACTGGCATTTGGGTTCATCTTTGTTCACTTTTTTTTTGTCATTTGTCATTCTTCTAGCCACTTAGCTTCACATGTAATGGTTCAGAATTGCAGTGTCTTCTAATGTCAAGGATAGAGTTTGTGTTTCTGTTTGTTATTTTCTTCGTTGTTTTGAGGTAATTTTTGAGAGAAAAAGAAGTAGGAATGTCTTCTCACCTTCTTAAACTTGGAAGTCTTATAGATGATATTTAAAACCATGGGACTGGAGCTATCCATATTTAATGCATTATTTTACATTTTGAGATACTATACTGAGTTTCTACAATGATAAATAAGGACTGAGTCTCCTATACCTCCCTATTTCCCATTCCCTACCCCCCGACATAGTTATAAAACAATTTTAGTTATATCAATAATCAGTATATATACTTGCTCATGACTGCACGAATGGCATTTACTGGAGAACCACATTAACACTATGTTCATACCAAATTTCTTATTCAGTCTTTCACTTTTACTGGAGTCACTCATTTCCTCCTTTTCTTCCCATGTGCCTGATTTTCTATGCATCATTAATTTTTCCTAATGTTCTAACAAAGTCTACCTCAATTCTATCAATGTTTTCCATAATCTCCAATATGTCATATGCATCTTACTCCTAGAGACCTTCCTTTCAGAGCCTTCCTTCCATGTTCTTCAATTTAGACTGGACATTATAGAGATGTCGTCTGGAAATTTCCATTCACCATCATCATGGGGACTCACATTGCCTCTTATGCTGTAGATCCCTTGATTCCTCGATTCTGTGGGTTCCCATCTTGGTTTACTCCCTTCTTTTTTGGATCATCACCTCTAGTAGTCCACTAAACGTACAAGGAAAGGGTACAAGGGAAGGAAATGATATTAGTTCTTGCAGGCCTGAAATATTTTACCCTTATCTGATGGATGGTTTGGCTGAATATAGAGGTGTAGGGTGCAGATTAGAACATTGAAGTCATTGGTCTCTTGTCCACTAGATTACAGTGTGGAGAGGTCAATAGATTCTGATTTTCTTTTCCTCCCTAGAAGTTTACAGCATCTTCTCTGTATCCCTCGTATTTGAAAAGTTCACAATGATGTACCTGACTCTGGGTCTTTTTCATTCCTTATGCTAGCCCTTTTGAGTTGGAAACATATGCTTTAGTTCTGAGAAATTTCCTTATGTTATTTCCTTGGTAATTTTTTCCCCTTGGCTCTCTATCTGGCATTTCTAGCAGATAGCTTTCAACCCTGTAGACTTCTTTTCTTGCTTTATCTTTTCTCTGCTATTTTCCATCTTTTTCATCTTTTTGTTCTGGAATGTTCTCTGAATTTATTTTTTATATTAAATTTTTATTTTGAAGCTGTCTGATTTCTCCCAATTCTTTTTTCCACTTGTTTTCTGCCTTTCAAGTTAGAAGCCTTTTCCCATGTCTGGAGGTGCTTGGCCATCAGCTCTCAGGAGCCTAGAAAGCTCTTTGCACATAAGCCAGATGTGGGCCCTAGGGCTTCCGCCTAATAGGACAGAGTTCAAACCCACTATGAAGAATCCCAAATGGTAGTTTCTGGAATTTATACCAGAGAAGACTCTCATCTCCTGCCTGGGGAGATGTAAAACTTGCTACCGACATTCTGGAAAGGAAGTTAAGAGCAGTATTCAGATTTTCACTCAGTTATCCAGTTCCCAGACTGTGCTTCCTCCTGCCCCACCCACCCACTCTCCAGCCTCTTCAATTGCCATCACCTCCTCCTTCCATTTCCTTGGTCCTTGTGGACTTGGCCCTTTTATGTGATTGTTATTTTGGTGGAAATAGGAAATAATGCATTATTCAGCCTGCCCTGTGTTGTTTCAGTGATAAGGAGACTGAGATTCAGAGAGGGGTTGCCTTCTTTGTGGGACCCCATGACACCCCAAGTCACTGCTTCTGTCTGCTTCTGTCTGGATCTCAACTTCCTCAGACATAAAATGGAAGAATAGTTCTAGGTGAATTTCAGAAACTTTATATCCTGGAATTGTATGTTTCAAGAGATCAGAACCTGATCTCCATGGCTATTTTTTAAAAAGACTTATTTATTCATTTTTAGAGAGAGGGTGTGTGCACAAGTGGGGGGAGGGGCAGAGGGAGAAAGAGAGAGGGGAAGCAGACTCCCTGCTGAGCAGGGAGCCCAACTTGGGGCTCGATCTCAGGACCCTGAGGTCATGACCTGAACTGAAACCAAGAGTCAGAAGCTTAACGGACTGAGCCACCCAGATGTCCCTCCGTAACTATTTAATTTGTCCTATTTTTGGTGCTTTCATGATGTCCCACCAATCCCTGTCTTTTTTGGGGGGTGGGGAGGGGTAGAGGGAGAGAGAGGATCTTAAGTAGGCTCCACAGCCAGTGTGGAGCCCAGACATGGTGTTCGATCTCACAACCCTGAGATCATGACCTGAGCCAAAAGCAAGAGTCTGACACTGAACCCACTGAGCCACCCAGGAGCCCCCTCCATCCAACACCCTTCTAAGACTTCTTCTCCCCTTCTCCCAAATCAAGGGCTACAGGTAAAGGCTGGCTTCATGGGTGTGTGGAGCCTATACAGTCACATTTGTTTAATGGTCTGCTGTTCTGGCCTGAAAATTTTTATTAATTTTTGAACCAGGGGTGCCACTTTCATTTTGTGCAGGGCCCCATGAATTATGTAGGTAGTCCTGGCCCCAGGATGGTCACCAGCCAGGACTCCTCTTTCAAGGATTTTATAGCCCATAACCAGAGCTACAAGTCCTGTGGCTCTGCTGAGCCTGCTTCCCAAAAGGGAGGGAGGAGCATGGAGAGGAGCGCCTCCCCACTAGAAATGGAGAAACCAGCCCCCAACAGGTTCTGCAACTTGCCTGAGATCTTATCACTCAAGGGTCTGGGAAACGCCTGAGTTATTTAAGGCAAACTCAGAGTACCTCACACAATCTTAGAAGGTTGTTTTGCTTCTGTTTAATTGGGGCCATGCCTTCTGGCGGTTGATGTCCTTTGACAAGGCAATTTTGGATTCAGAGGACTTTATTCATCCATCTACTCATTCACTAAAGAAACCTTTACGAAGCAGGGAGAGTAAGCAGGGAGAGCAGGCTCCTTGGAGTCCTCTTCCCCCTCGTCCTCCTGCTGGCCGCACCACCTAACTTGACCTGCCGAGGCTCAGTTTTTCTTCCTGTTTGATGAGAAGAGAATAATTACCTCCCAGTTCAATGATGAGATGACCTGTGTAATGGGCCTGGTGCCGCGCCTGACACACAATGTGCCCAGCAAGTACTCATTCCTCCAGCCTTCTTCCCAGCACTAGGCAAACCATAAAAGATTTCAGCTTCAGCTGTGGACAGGCCAGGCCACAAGCAGGCTTGGGAACACCCAGAAGGTCCATTCATTGGTGGGGGACATACTAGAGTCTCTCTTCCCTTCAGCAGAAATGTTGATGGGAGCCCAAGGAGGAAGGCTCATGCATCTGAGAAGTGTCCGGACGGCATTTGCTTTCAGGAACATCCCTGTGCTTTGTGATTAACATTTAATAGGTTCCAAGAAAGCTTTGAAGTTAATAATATGTCTCCCCTCCCTTTCAACCTATGATGATCTTTCAACCAATGATCTTCAAGTGATACACTTATGTCTGTAATGAAATTTGGAGGCTCTGGCAAGGAGCAAGCCAAAGACTTGCTCTTATCTTTATTGAAAAAAAAAAAAACCTTAAAAGTCTAGTTATGAAAATTAAGCCCACAGAGAGACATGGCCCAGGAATGTGTCCTGAGAAATGCCTCTTCCCCAGGCTGTTCCTGTTCAGTAAGATAGATGGGGGAATGATCTAGTAAATTTAGCCTCATGACAATTTATGGCATTCGTTCTCACTTCCCAGTTTACAGATGTTTGACAAAGTCTTTGCACATCCATCACCTCATTTGTACCTTACAATCTCAGAAGGTGTTTTGTGAAAGTTATTATCCCCACACTGCAGATGAGAAAACTGGGCCCTGGAGAAGTGACCTGTCCAGGTCATGTAGCTACCCCAAACGTATCAGGGCCAGGATTCAAATCTACTCTCTTTATTGCAGAGTCTCTGCTCTGTTGCCTCCTTGAAATAGTATTTAGTTATTCCCACACTTAGTAGAACCTCCTTTACTAAACTTTTAGCTGAGGTGTGCTGGGTTCCAAGCCTGGGGATGCTGGCACCATCAGGAAGTCGGGAGAAGGCAGTGGGACCAGCTCTAATGTGGCCACCAGGGCCCCCGACCAGGGCCCCTGCCTGGTGGAGTGGTGGTCACATTCCTGGAATTCCCATGGCCTGGTCAGGACAGAATAATGCAGCCCCTCAGGCTCATCAGGGGCCAGATCTGTCCCTCTCACCCACTCAAGGGCTTTGCTTGGACTTTGCCTGTAATCTCCCCTCTCTTTCCTACTAGCCAATATTTCTTTTCCATGAGCACACAAACATGCTACAACTTCCCTGTTTAACCCCACTGTGTCTCCCTATAGGGTTGACCAATTCTTTACTCTTCCTTTCAGCAAAATTCCCATGGGCCTTGTCTTTACTGTCTACTGTTTCCTCCCGTTCTGCCTTGAACCCATGCCAATCAAACTTCCACCCTTCCTACTTGACCAAAATCATCTTGTCCATGACAATTATCTTGCTGGATCCTGGGCTAAGCTCACCCGACTCTTAATAGCATTTGACATTTTTTCTTTCTTGAAACACTATTCACGTGGCTCTGGTCACTGCCCTTCACTGGTTCTCTCCTTCTACCATCTTTGCTGGATTGTTCTGTTCTGCCTGACTTCTACCTGTTACAGTGCCCTCATCTCAGCCCTGGTCCCTTTCCCGTCATCTACGATCTACACTCCCTAGGTATCTGCATTTAGTCCTGGGCTTTAAATCTCATGTTTACACCACAGCTCCCAAATTCACATCTCCAGCCAGAACACTTTTCCTGAATTCGAGACTCATTTGTGCAACTTCCTATTCAGTATCTCCTCTTGCATTTCTTACAGTCATATCAAACTTAACATGTCCCAAATCTAGATCTCACCCCCCAACCTGCCCATAACCATCCCAGTGAAGGACTCCACCATGACCTTACTATGCCATCTTCGATTCCTCTCTTTTTCTCACAACTACACCCAATCCATTGTTGGCTCCACCTTCAAAGTATATCTATTTTCTCCTTGGCCACAAAACCAAGTACTGGTCTGGTCCTCCCAGTGAGTCATTTTCATTCCTTCTTCTCCTCCTTGGTCCATTCCCCAAAGAGACCTGAACAATACTTCAAAGTCCAGAGTGCTGACCATTACACCATGGGGCCTGAACAATACTTCAAAGTGTAAATTAGACCATGCTGCTCTTGTGCTCAAAATCCTTCAATGACTTCTCAGCACACTTAGAATTAAATTGAGGGGCGCCTGGGTGGCTCAGTCGTTAAGCGTCTGCCTTGGGCTCAGGTCATGATCCCAGGGTCCTGGGATAGAGCCCCGCATCGGGCTCCCTGCTCCACAGGAAGCCTGTTTCTCCCTCTTCCTCTCCCCCTGCTTGTGATCCTGCTCTCACTGTGTCTCTCTCTGTCAAATAAATAAATAAAATCTTTAAAAAAAAAAAAAAGAATTAAATTGAAATGCCTAACCGTGGCCTCAGAAGGAATATTCAAAACACCCATATTCAGTAATATATTCATGTATAAGAGTCTATATAAGTGGAAATTTAAAATGTATTCCCTTTTATTTTCTAAATAACCCAAACTAAATCTGTTTATAGAATAAAACTGCGGGGCACCTGGGTAGCTCAGTGGGTTAAGTAATCAACTCTTGATTTCGGCTCAGGTCATGATCTCAGGGTTATGAGATCAAGCCCCGTGTGGGGCTCTGTGCTGGGTGTGGAGTCTAATTGAGATTCTGTCTCTCCCTCTCCCTCTGCCCCTTCCCCACCACCCCTGAAATAAATAAATAAATCTTATTTTATTTTATTTTATTTATTTGAGAGAGAGAGTGAGAGAGAGAGAGCACAAGAGGGGGTAGGGTCAGAGGGAGAAGCAGACTCCCCCCTGAGCAGGGAGCCCGATGCGGAACTCGATCCTGGGACTCCAGGATCATGACCTGAGCCGAAGGCAGTCGCTTAACCAACTGAGCCACCCAGGCACCCAAATAAGTAAATCTTTTAAAAAAGAATAAAACTGCCAACAAAATAAGTTATAACAGAGCATTCACCAAATCAGTCTAATAATTTCTAAGTCATTTGTTGGTTTTCAGAAATTACTGGTGTGATCTTTTGATATGTTCTTATAAATTAAATAATGCCCCTATTGACAGAGGGAAATGCATCCAACTTTTCCAATAACTTCCCCAATAAATCAGTAGCTACTAGGTAAGTTGTAGTCTCAAAATAAAGAATTTCTCTCAATAACAATATTATTTGTGGTAATGAATTGTTTCTCAACTGCTATTCAACCAAGAACAATTATATTAAAATATTTTCTGATCCTTACAGTATCATCTGAGATTCTTCCATATTCAACATCTTATTATTGGCTTAGTCACAAAAACCTTTTGTGGAGCACCATGTCTAATGATGTTGAGCCTGATCCTTCCTGAGAGGCTCAGAGAATGGCTGCCAAAACTGCGTGCCCCACTAGGCTACTCAGTTTTGACTCCTGGCTCAGACGCTTACACAAATTTTAGACAACCTTTGTTTTAGTTTTCTTGTATAGAAAATGGGTGAGTTAACAAATTTAGAATGGTGCCTGGCTCAGAAAATGCTAGATATGCATTAGCTCTCACTTTACTAAGAAAACCCTGTTGTTAATGCCCTTGACTAGAAGGCCTGTGGTGGGTTTTGACAAAGGGATGCCCTTCACTGGAAGTAAAATTGAGTATGAATGGTGAAAAGTGGGAGCTGCACTCTGGAATCCTCGGGCTCTTCCTTCCTCGCTGCCTCCCTCCTGTGGAGGGAGTACTGCTATTCCAACAAAGCCCCAAATGCCTGGCTAGTACTTGTGTGGGCCCCCCACTTGTCTGCTCCCCCAGGGTCCCCCAGCCCTCTCTGAGCCAAAATTCTATGAAGGCTATCATCTTTACAGGCTGGCATGGGTTAAGTGGGCAGTACAAGGCAGCCATGGCCTGCTGACTGGCCCCCCCACTGATCCATGGGGTGCCCCTTCTCCCTTCCCTCTTCCCCAGTGGGAGCCAATGATGGTAGCCAGGAGGTGGGATCTACCAGGGACATCTGGTACAATGCATGGGACAGACTATGGATGTACTGGCTGATATCAGTCCTGTGGGGCCAGGGGACCTCCAGGCAGTCAGGGCCCTGCCCAGTGCTTTCACCCTGAGGCCCACAGCTCTACCTCTTACCCATTATCCTGGCCACACTGGCTTCCTTTTGTTTCTCAAACACACCAAGCCTAGTGTAGCCTCAGGGCCTTTTCACTCTCCCTGGGATACATTTCCCCACATTCCTGCATGGCTCTCGCATTCCCATCTTGGCTCCACTGGCCCTTCTTCAGGGAAGTCTTCCTCATGACCCTATACAAATTCTGTTCACTCCACCCCACCCCAGTCACCCTATAAACCTACCTGGCTTGAAAGCATGAATCACTCCCTAAAGTTATATTTTATATTTATCTGTTTTCTATCATTCTGCCATGATATGGCTGAAACAGGAGATGACAAATACTGCTGCAAATACTGTTAAGAGATGCAGAAACTGCCAAAAATTTAGAAGAAAACGAGTGTTATAATGTCACAGGTTTGCAGTGTGAAGGTTTGCTATCCGGCAGGATAAAATATAGATATTTCTAACAAGTCCCTTCTTGTGGTAGTCACTGGATTCCATTTCAGTCATGGAACATGGGAAGGACTGCTTCTGAGGGGCCATTCCTGGGAAGATGCATCAGAGAACATATATTCTCCACAGTAAATCGTTATCTTTTATACAAGAGCTACTTGGAGGGGCACCTGGGTGGCTCAGTGGGTTAAGCTTCTGCCTTTGGCTCAGGTCATGATCTCGGGGTCCTGGGATCAAGCCCCGCCTTGGACTCTCTGCTCAGCGGGGAGCCTGCTTCTCCCTCTCCCTCCACTGGTTCGCCTGATTGTGCTCTCTCTCTCTGTCAAATAAATAAATAAATAAAATCTTAAAAAAAAAAAAAAGACAGAGATAAACCTGGAAACTGCTTAAAAAAAAACAAAAGAGCCACTTGGAGATACCATGTTCATGGAATCACTGACTAGACCCACTTTGACTAGAATGGCGGAAGAGCTCTGGGATGAGGCTACAGACGGCCGGGGAGATCCACCCGCCGCCTCCTTCCCCAGCAGCTAATGGCAGCGGAGACCGCAGGCAGAGGGGCACGCGTGACTGTGGAATGCCCTGGACACAGCTGATTTTATAAACACGGGACCTTCCAGATGTCATGGGATCCTTACCGTAACCTGTAATGAGCCGAATACCCATAAACATCTTTGGCTCCACATAGAAGGCTGTCGTCTATCTCGTGGCAAAATACTTAAAAGACCTGTCAGACTTACAGAAGAGTTCTCTTTTTTCTCGTGAAACAAAAAGGCAAGTATTCCTGCAATGACGAGTGGTTGTCAGTAATAGTGCCTGGCAGGTCTTCTTGAAACTGTGAATATACTTAATTTGTCCCTTCGGGGCAAAGGGACTGTTTCAACAAAGTGAGCAGCTGAATGGCTGGGTGTGTTGACTGGCCTTATCTTTGGATTTACGATCTCAGATGTCCAGGGGGGCCCTAAAGGTGCCTGACAATTTAGTAGATTTCTGACTTAACTCTCCCATTCCCCAGAGGTATTACACCTCTGACCTCTCCTTGGACCTCGAGCAACCCTCCCGACTCTCACACTCAGCTCATGACCTCCTTCCCATTTCACCAGAAGCAGTCAGAAGGGCCCTTTCCTCACATCCCCACCATGTCTGTACCACAGGCCCTCCCTTCCTGGTCCTGTCACAGCTGAATTGTCTATGCTCCGGCCAATCCCTCTGCCTGAGCTGCAGACCCATCCCCTCTTCCCAGCTCAGTGATAGCCCCTGAAATCATTCCCTTTCTTCCCACATCTGAAACAAGCAAGCAAAGAAACAAAACCAGACAAACAAAAATCTGCCTTGACTTTACGTTGTCTCCCAGCGATGGCACCCCTGCTTCTGTCTATGATGAAATCCCTCACAAGAGTGGTCTACACTCTTCTGCCCTTCATCCCCAACACTGAAAGCACTCTTGTCAAGGGCAGTGATGACCCCATGTCCAAATCTGACATTCACACCCTGGTCTTCATCTTGCAATTCTCAGGAGCTTTTGAGGAAGCTGATGGCCCCACCTTTTGGACACACTTTCTTTGCTTGGCTTCCAGGATACCACATTCTCCTGGTTCTCTTCTGCTTCTCGGGCATTCATTCTCATCTTCCTTCTTGCTCCCTACTTAAGTATGTTGGAGTGGCCGGGTCTCGGTCCTTGGACCTTTCTGTCCACACACCCTTGATGATTTTATCCAGCCTCTGATTCCCAGATTCCTAATTCCAGTCATTAGCTTTCCACCAAACATCAAGCTCACCTACTCAACAGCATCGTCAACGTCCCCACTTGGATACTGGGTAGGCATCATTAACTTTTGAACATCCCAGCAAACTCTTGATTCTTTCCTCCACTCTATCATAAGCCCACACATGTCTCCCTGGCCTCCACAAATGACAACTGCATTCTCATGAGCATTCAGACCCAGAACTTTGCAGTCATCTTCAATGCCTTCTCTCTCACCCCCCACATCCGATCCATCAGGAAGACTGTGACTTTGAAATCTGTCCAGAGGTTGACTGCTTCTCCTCAGTGTCTACACCCTCGCCCTGCCCTCAGCCCACATGTGGGCCACTTCAGTGGCCCCCTAAGTGATCTCCCTGCTCCCCCCTGCTCCCTACATCCCCCTACTCCTTCCTGATCCCCCCTACTCTACACATCCCCAGAGGGACCCTTCTAAAATATGAGTCAGCTGCTGTCACTCTTCTGCCTTCCATCTCACTGAGAATAAAACCTGATGTCCTTCCTATAATCCCCAAAACCTTATCCCTCATCTGGCCTGGCTGCCTCTCTGACCTCATGGCCTCTATCACACAGCTCCTTGCTTTCTCAGGGCCACCTCACTGTCTCAAGGTCTTTGCACCTGCAGTGCTGATCCCCCACCTATCTGCATGGCTCAGTCCCCTGCTTCCTTTAAATCTCCTCTCAAATGTCACTTTTATTTGAGAAGCCTTCCCAGACCAGTCTGTCTAAAACAGCAACTCCCAGCGTGCCTGTGTGGCTCAGTCAGATGGGTGTCTGACTCTTGATTTCGGCTCAGGTCGTGATCTCGGGGTCCTAGGATCGAGCCCCGTGTCAGCCTCCGCACTCAGCAGGGAGTCTGCTTGGGGATTTCTCTCCCTCTCCCTCTGCCCCTCCCCTCTCTAAAATAAATAAACAAATCTTAAAATAAAATAAAATAGCAACTCCCACCTCCAACCTTTCCTCCTGTCTATTCTATTTTTATATTCTGCTTTCTTTTTCCTCATGGAAGTTTTTTGCCACCTGACATATTTTATGACTTACTTATGTATTCATTATGTGACTCTGCCAGCTAGAATGTAAGCTTCACGAGGTAGAGATTGTTTTTGTTTGTTGCTTTATTCCCTGTGCCTAAAACAGTGTCTGGCACCTGCTCAGCACTCCTTTGTCTAAGGAATGAAAAAGTAATCACTTTTTTGGAAGACATATGTGCTATGGAGACTACATTTTGAGAATGAATGTTTACAAATGTTTCCATTGGTATGAAAATACTTGGTTTTCTTTATCTTTGTGGGGTATCTTTTTCTGTTATGGTCACCATAAAAAGGAGTATTAAAGTAAACTAAATTTAGGACAAGAACTACAAATCTCTGTATCACACAGTGTTAAGACAAGATTACTCTAATTACAATAGTACTAATATTTTCATTGAAAGGGAGGTTATTTAATTAATAATTTATATTTTTAGCTTGTTTTGATATTTATGAGTGTCCTATAATATACATCATTAGAACAGTCCTGCATGTGTATAATTTATACAAAAATACGTATCTGTATAATGGGATATATGTTCAAAATTCTTTTCTGAAAGTTTACTGTCTAAAGGAAGAGGCATTTGGATAGGATTAGCTCTGGGGACATATTTTAGGGTTTTGTTACATAACATTCTACTCCGATAACCAATTTCTGTGGCTTACCTATTACTTTGTAACAAACTACTATTATAATAACAAAGTATGTCAGAATTTAGTGTGGCTTAGAAACAATAACCATTTTGTTGACTTGGAATTCTGTCAGTCATGACAGACTTGGGCAGGACTTGGCTGGGTGGTTTTCTGTTCTACCTGGCATGGGGAGAGGGCTGCATGTAGCTAGTGACCGGGCTAGGCTGGGAGATCCAAGAAGGCTTCACTCACGTGTCTGACACCTCAGTCCTCTGCGTTGCCTCGTTAGTACACGTGGCATGCTTGGGCTTCCTCGCAGCATGGCTGTCTCAGGGAAGTTGGACTTCTTGCCGCTGGCTTTCAGGACAGCACATCTGAGGAAAAGCAAAAGCTGCAAAGACACGGCTTAGAAGTTATATAACACCATTGACTCGGAATTCTGCTGCTGAAAGCTGGCCACAAGACCACGGCGATGCAAGGGGCAGGGAGATGGATCACATCTTTCAACGGCAAGAGTGGCAAAGAACGTAAGTCTACTTTAAATCCACCACAGGCTTCTTTTGCACGTCATGATTTTGTGAGATTCATCTATGTTGTTGCCTATATCAGGTATTCATTCTTTCTCATTACTGTATAGGATTCCATGGTATGACTATCGCAACTTGCTATTGATTCTCCCATTGATGGACATTTGGTTGGTTGTAATTTGGGGCTGTTATAAAGAAAGTTTAATGAAAATACTTGTACATATCTTTTGGTGAACATATGTACTAATTTCTCTTGGGTATATATCTAAGGGTAGAATTGCTGAGTCATAATTAGCCTACAGTTAGCATTACTTCCAATTTTCCAAAATATTTCTGCCAATCTTCACTCCCATCAGCAACGTAGAAGACACTGAGTGTATCCATGTTTTTGCCAAACCTCAATATCGTCTTTTTAACTTTAGCCATCCCAGTGGATGTGTTGTAGCATCTCATTGTGGGTTTAATTTGTATTTTTCTGATGAGTCATGATGTTGAGCAGCTTTTCATGTATTCATTGATCTTTTAACTATCCTCTTTTGTGAAATAGTTGTTAAAGTCTTTTGCTTACTTTTTAATTTTTTTTATTGATTTGTAGTGGATATAAATATCTTATAAATACCTTTTCTCAGTCTTTGGGTTGCCTTAACAATTCTGATGAAGTAAAGTTCTTAATTTTAATGAAGTCCAATGTAACAATCTTTTCTTTCATGAATAGTGCTTTTAGGATTGTGCTTTTCGGGAAATCTGTCCCATCTCAAGTCAGAAAGATATTTTCTGATTTTTTTTTCCTAGAAGCTCTATGGCTTTACTTACTATATGTGGGATTGTGATCCATTTCAAATTAATTTTTGTATATGGTGTGATGTAGGGGTCAATATTTTTTCATATGAATGTCCAACTGATCCAGAATCATTTATTGAAACACTATACTTTCCCCACTGAATTTTAGTAGCACCTTTGTTGTAAATCAGTTTATCTTACATGTTTTTGGACTTTCTATTCTGTTCCATTGATCTTTTGGTCCATTCTTGCACTACTGTTTGACTTATATATTTTCTAACGTTAAACCAACTTTACATTTCTAGAATAAACCCAACTTGGTTTTGATTTATTAACCTATTTATATATATTGCTCAATATAACAAAGGACTTGCATTCAATTTGCTGATATTTTGTTTGGAATTTTTGCATCTCTTTCTGAGACAGAACGGACTTTAATTTTTACTTTTCTTCAAATATCCTTGCCATGATTTGACGTCAAGGTTATGCTAGCCTCGTAAGATGTGCTGGTAAATGCACTCACTTTTCCCATTATTTAGAAGTCTGTGTACAGGGGCCCCTGGGTGGCTCAGTCATTGGGTGTCTGCCTTCAGCTCAGGTCATGATCCCAGGGTCCTGGGATCAAGCCCCGCATTGGGCTCCCTGCTCAGCAGGAAGCCTGCTTCTCCCTCCCCCAGTCCCCCTGCTTGTGTTCCCTCTCTTGCTGTCTCTGTCAAAAAATAAATAAAATCTTAAAAAAAAAAAAAAAGAATGTGTACGATGTGTACTATTTCTTTCCCAAACATTTGGTAGAATTTACCATCTTTAACTCATGAAATTGGGGTTTTCTTAGTGAGGTTTTTTTATACATAGAATCTATTTCTTAAATATAGAATTGTTCAGATTTTCTATTTCTTCTATATACCTTTCAGTAACTTGTATTTTTCTAGGAATTTGTCCATCTCATCAAAATTTCAAATTTATTGGCCTAGAGTTACTGGCTCTATTACAGAATTGAGCAATGGTTAGTGTTGACTTCTGTGTCTGTCACTTACGTGGAAACTTGGGTATAGTACCTGCTTGTGCATAATAGCAGAGCTGGGGTCCTTGCTAGGATTTAAGTCCACCCTTATTAGGCTAGAAGGGCTAAACATATCTCTTTCTGATGTACACATTCTTTCTTTAGATATGTTAATATGTTCAATTAAGGTGTTCAATAAAATATTGGCCCAGACTCCTCAATCCCTTTAAAGGTTTATTATCTCTGTTCTAATTTTATTTCCCTGTTTCCTCTTCTTGGGGTTACCTCAATGTTGCTCCACCATACCACCTCTATGTAGCTCAACTGTTTTCCAGAAATTTACCCACAGGGCGCCTGGGTGGCTCAGATGGTTAAGCGTCTGCTTTTGACTCAGGTCTTGATCTCCGGGTCCTGGAGCCCCCTGCTCAGTGGGGGGGTCTGCTTCTCCCTCTCCCTCTGCCCTCCCCCGCTCATGCTCTCTCTCTCTCTCAAATGGATAAATAAAATTTAAAAGAAAGAAATATACCCACGTTCAAGCTCACCTGCAGCATAAGGCAGAATCCAGCTCACTGAGCACTTCCGCCACTGATCATTTCCATCAGACAAAAAAAAATCTGTGCCAATCTGATAACCAAAAATGGCACCTGAGCCAGAGTTTTAAGACCTGCATATTAAAGCTTCTCTGTTAAAACCCTCCTCTAAGGGTTTTAACAGAGAAGTCTTATAGTCTAAGAAAACATTTTCTTCCAAAGGGCTGACTTTGCTCAAAACACTCAATTTCCTGTGAAAGAATGGCTGGAAAAATCTGTGACTCATTTCTGCGTAACCACACGTCCAAAGTCTCAAATCAAGGTCCGTCAACTGTTTCAACTATTTTGCATATACATGAAAATCTTACAAAGTCATTCATCTATTCAGCAAATATTTATTGATCACATCCTGTGAGCTAAGAACTGATCCAGGCCCTGGACATATAGCAAGAAACAAAAAGACAAAGACAAACTTTCCTGATCTCGTATTTTAGTTCAGTACATTAACTCTTCAGTTGCGCACTCAGTACCGCCCCTTCCTGTTCTAATATTTCAACATCTGACATCAGGGCTGATCTAGAAAATAAAAGGCTTATGATCAAGCTTTTCTTAGGACAATCCTTAATGCTGTAACGATAGGGAAGGTTTTTCAGTAAGAGTCTGAAGTTGCACAGAGCCAAGCCTGGCAAATGACATGGGCGACACAAATGGACAGAACATTTGTCTAGTGCCATGATAAAATAATGAGACTGACTGCTCCACTGGACTGGAGGGGGGGGGGTCTCTTGAAGGCTGGGACTCTTTATCTCTCATTTCCCAACTGCTGGCACAGTGCTTGGCATACAGTGGGTGTTTAATAACTTTGCGAAATAAATGAATTGACAAGTAAATAAGGAGTAAGTGAATAGAGAGCCAGTCGTTCCCTATTCTCATCTAGTCCGTGACTTTAAATACCATCCAGACAGAGAGAACTCCCAAGTGTGTTATCTGCAGTCCAGAATTCACCTGAGAACGCTAGACTCCAGTATCAAATTGTCTTCTCATCCTACCTGGAGGGTTGTTTTTTTTTTTTTAAGATTTTATTTATTTGACAGAGAGAGAGACAGCGAGAGCAGGAACACAAGCAGGAGGAGTGGGAGAGGGAGAAGCAGGCTTCCTGCCGAGCAGGGAGCCCGATGTGGGACTCGATCCCAGGACCCTGGGACCATGACCTGAGCCGAAGGCAGACGCTTAACGACTGAGCCACCCAGGCGCCCCCTACCTGGAGGTCTTACCAGCATCTCTAACAGGTCCAAAATCGAACTCTTGGTTCCTCCTCTACCCGACTCCCAAACTGTTCCACCCACAGCCCGCCCCTGCTCAGTGATAACTTCACTCTTCCAGAGCTCGGGTCAAAAATCTTGGAAGTCACCCTGGACTCTTTTCTTTCTCCTACCGCCCACTTCCTGTCCATCAAGTTACCCTTATGGCCCTACGTTCACAACGTGTATTTCTAGAACCTCTGTATTTCTCACCGTCTCCAGTGCTTTTACCTGGTTCAAGCTACCACTGGATCTTGTCTGGATTATTTTACTAGTCTCCTGACTCGTCTCCTGCCCTCGCCCCGCTCAGTCCCTTCTCCCCACAAGGGTCAGACTGGTCTGCCAAACATAAGTCAGATCGTGTAACTCACCCAATAGCTTCCAAGTAAAATCCTCACCTAACACTAGTAGTATCCGACTCGTACAGAGGAGGAAACTGAGGCACAGGGCGCAGAATGCACCCGGCTCTACCTCAACAACCGTGTGCTTTCCTCCAGAACCCCATGCCTCGGCCGTGCCAGTAAAAGCCAGACTGGAGCGGACCCGGGGGGCGGTCGCGGCCGCGCTGGGGAGGGGGCCGCCCCCGCCTCCCTGGCAGCTCGCAGGAGGAAGACGGTCCTGCAGCGAGCCGAGCCGGACCGAATCAGCGCAGCAGCAGGCGCGCCCAGTTTCTTCCCGAATCGGCTCCGGTCACCTCGACTGGGGAAGCAATGGAGTCTGGGAGGGGGCTGCAGGGGGTGCGGAGCTTCCCTCCCGGAGCGAGCGGAGACGAACCCGCGGCCCCAGGCGCCCGGAAGCCAAAGCCGCGGTTTCCGTTTCCGCCCGGCCGGCTCCTCCGGCGCTCCCGGAAGCTGCCCTCGCCGCCCGGGTAACGGGCCCGGCGGCGGCGGCGGCGGCGGCGCCGTCGTCATGGACCTGGAGGAGGCGGTGAGGGACCCGGGCGCCCTCCGGGCCCGGCGGCGGGGCGGGAGGGGAGTGAGGCCGAGCGCGGGGGCCGGAGGACGCCGACTGGCTGTGGGGGCGCCACTGGCCCGAGGACGGCGGGCAGAAGGCTGCGGGGCGGGGAAAGGGAGGGGGCTGGCGGGCCGGTGCGCGAGCATTTTGGGGAGAGACACTGGAGTTTCTGGCTGGGCGAGGCTGTGGGTGAGGGAGGGCGGGGCGTTAGTCCCTGTGGGTGTGTTTCGGGAGGGGTATGGAGTTGTGGGTTTTATGGGGTGGCCACCCATATGGCCCATCCCCTCGCGGCCGGGCCTCCCACAAGTTCCCTTTGTTTTTTTTTTTTTTAATTTTATTTATTTATTTGAGAGAGCGAGAATGAGAGAGAGTACATGAGAGGGGATAGAGTCAGAGGGCAAAGCAGACTCCCTGCCGAGCAAGGAGCCCGACGCGGGACTCGATCCCGGGACTCCAGGATCATGACCTGAGCTGAAGGCAGTCGCTTAACCGACTGAGCCACCCAGGCGCCCCACAAGTTCCCTTTGATGCGGGGGTGGGCGTGGGAGGTCCGGGGTTGGAACCCGCTGGCTCCGGAGCACCCACCCCGCCTCCCCGCCCGTCTCCCTGGGATCCTCGCCGCGGTGGGGTTTGGGCCACTCCGGGGTGATGCTAGTATGCAGTACGGGGTCACTGCAAACGTTACCGACTTGTTGAAATAAACACGGCGTTCATTTTTGACATGCTACATAAAATGCCGCATTCTTTGGCCGTATTAAAGGAATATTGGGCAATTAGATCAACGATAAGGTCAAAGACCCGAGAGTTCGGGACGAGTAGTTTAGTGCCCATCAAGGTAGGGTGATAGAAGGCCTTGCTCATGATAGATGCTCAATAAATGTCTATCGAATGGTGGATGGCTAACGTCTGTACCTGCTAAGTTAATGAAATTAATAATTATATCTCACCATTAACCTGCATTTGCTGTGAGTAGGGATCATGTCTGTTTTGCCCACCACTGAATCCCCGGCACCTAGTTAAATGCCTAATGCATACATAGGTGATTCTCCTTATATTGCTGAATGAATAAATCGAAACTTGGAACAGCCCCCATAAAAATCTGATTCTTTTGTGGTATGTGTTTTTAGTGTCATTGAGAAAGTTCCAAATGGCATGCAATTTTTATTTTTATTTTTTAAAGATTTTATTTATTTATTTGACAGAGACACAGCGAGAGAGGGAACACAAGCAGGGGGAGTGGGAGAGGGAGAAGCAGCCTTCCCGCTGAGCAGGGAGCCCGATGCGGGGCTCGATCCCAGGACCCTGGGACCATGACCTGAGCCGAAGGCAAATGCTCAACGACTGAGCCACCCAGGCGTCCCCCAATTTTTATTTTTAAAGTCTTTACTTAAATCTTGTCCTCTTTTTTCCTCAGGGCACTTTCCAGGAGTTTTATTAACTCATCCATTTTTTTCCATTTTACCCCTACCACCTTTTCTTCTTTTTTTCCCCCTCACACACAGCGTATTTTAGAAACTTTTTTAATCATTTAATTCCACTTCCAACTATTCAGAAGACTGAACCGTTCTTCTCTTTGTTTATAGTTAATCTCTCTGAACCATTTTTTATTTTCTATGGTTTTTTTTACCTGTAAGGTAAATTGCAGGGAACCCTTTAGGTAGAACTTCAGGGTTTAGGTGCAATGTATTGAATATGGCTTGATGGTAACACCTTTTCTATCTTCTCCGATAGAGAGAGTTTAAAGAAAGATGCACTCAGTGTGCTGCCATCTCTTGGGGTCTTACTGATGAAGGCAAATATTACTGTACTTCTTGCCACAACGTCACAGAAGTAAGTAACATATATCACTTAGGAATCTGCTAGTGTTTTTAAAAATTACAGTTTTAGCCTGGTATGTGGCATAGTTCCCAAATAATGTACTTCTGTCGCCCCTGCAATGCCCAAATTCCAAGAATGTAAGCAGTCTTCAAGTGCTTACACATGAGCTAAGGAATGAGTAATTTAGATTTAGGATGGGTTTTTGAAATGATGTTGGGCCGCATTTGTAAATGATTTCATGATTCAGACTGTGTAGTATAAGGGAAACTAATTAAAATTGTACTTAGAAGGTGAGGCGTTTCTTTTTATTAGTTAATACTCATGTAAGAGTTTTTAATACATTGTGGTAGCTTAGAGTTTTGGAAGATGGAATGTTAGAAAGATTGAGGACTATTGGGAGTATTGGAAATATACTTCATTGTCATTTTATCTTGTACAGTACCTTAGAGATTACAAAGTGTTTTCTTTCTTTTTTTTTTTTTTTTAAAGATTTTATTTATTTATTTATTTGAGACAGAGAGAATGAGAGAGAACACATGAGACGGGGGAAGGTCAGAGGGAGAAGCAGACTCCCTGCCGAGCAGGGAGCCTGATGTGGGACTCGATCCAGGGACTCCAGGATCATGACCTGAGCCGAAGGCAGTCGCTTAACCAACTGAGCCACCCAGGCGCCCTACAAAGTGTTTTCTTATTCCTTATTTCATTTTCTCTTCATAACCACGTGTGAGATATACTATTATGTGTGTCCGTTGATGGGGCAAGTAGGGCTCACGAGTTTGAGTGAGCTTGCCAAAGTCACACAGGTATAAAGTGTTGAGCCATGCTGTGAACCTGAGTCTTCTGACTGCAGTGGTCATTTTACCCCATTACACCTGCCTCTTACACTAGAGCTTGTCATACTGTCTTATGTGTAACCTTGGTCAGTGAGGCCCCCTTTACACTGGGAGTGCGAGGTCCTGTTCCAGTTACCACACATTCAGGGCAGTCTGACCAAAATAATCAAGGCTGTGGACAGTCTGCTACTGGACAGGCTGAACATGCCAGGACTCCTCTCTGGAAAAAGATTTGCTCAAAGTCTACAGAGCCAGGAAGGAACAAGTATTACATTTACCATATAGACTTAAGAAAGGCAAATTTGGGACAGATGAAAGTAACTGTGTAGACTTCAGCTTTTGGCCAAGATGGAGTAACAGGAACCAGATTTACCTTCCTACCATAATCAACTAGAAACTTGAGCAAAATATATAAAACAACTAAAAAAAAAATTTCCTTTGAGGAAAGCGGCTAATACACCTTGTTGCTCACACAGAGGTTTTTTTTGAAATAATCATTGTTCTTCAGTATGCAGCTGAAGTTCTTATCCCTGGTTCCCACTTAAGTCACACAGAATATTAAAAAAATACTAGCTGAAATTTTGTGGGTGGTGGATATTTCATTATCTTGTTTATGGTGATGGTTTTGTAAAGATGTATATATATGTATATAGATAAATAGATACACATAGAAGTATATGCATATGTATACATATCAACTCATGCACTTTATTTTTTATTTTTTTTTAAGATTTTATTTATTTGAGAGAGAGTGCATGCACATGCAAGAGAGAGAGCATGGGGGGGAGGAGCCGAAGACAGATGCTTAACTGACTGAGCCACTCAGGTGCCCCTACACTTTTTTTTTTTTAAGATTTATTTATTTATTTTAGGGAGAGAGGGAGAGAGCGTGTGTGAGCATGAGTGGGGGGAGGGGCAGAGGGAGAGAATCTTAAGCAGACGTCTCGCTGAGCGTGGAGCCTGACTTGTGACTCGATCCCATGACCCTGAGATCATGACCTGAGCCGAAATCAAGAATCAGACCGCTCAACCGACCGAGCCCCCCAGGCGCCCCAACATGTGCACTTCAGACACGTGCAGTTTGGTCCTCTGTGCCTTGATGCATGTGAGGCGCTAACAGTTTTACCCAGGATTGTTTTTGCGCAGCAGTGCAAACGTAAACACAGCGAAGGGTGATTGTGTCTAACTGGACTGTTTGCCATTAGTAGATGAAGTCAGCATGCTATTTTTGTGGAAATTAAACTACATTAACTAATTGCCTCTTTTATTTCTCTCTTTTTTTTTTAAGATTTTATGTATTTATTTGAGAGAGAGAGACTGAGAGAGAGAGAACATGAGAGGGGGGAGGGTCAGGAGGGTCAGAGGGAGAAGGAGACTCCCTGCCGAGCAGGGAGCCCGATGCGGGACTCGATCCAGGGACTCCAGGATCATGACCTGAGCCGAAGGCAGTCGCTTAACCAACTGAGCCACCCAGGCGCCCTTTATTTCTGTCTTTGATAATGTTCCTATTTAATTCTGTCTGATAAAATCTACTGCAGTCATTTTAACTTGAAAGATCCTAATGCCACTACACTACCTAGTTCCACATTTGAAAGACAACCTATATAGAGTAACTTGTCAAGAATGTAGCATTCTTTCTTTTTTTTAAAGATTTGTTTATTTATTTTATTGAGAGAGAGAATTTGAGCAGGGGGAGGGCAGAGGGAGAGAATCTCTAGCAGATTCCGAGCTGAGCGCAGAGCCTGGTGCCGGGCTTGATCTCACGATCCCGAGATCATGACCTGAGCTGAAACCAAGACGGTGACGCTTAACCAGCTACCCCACCCAGGTGCCCCAAGAATGTAGCATTCCTGAAGATGGCAGCATCTATGTATAGGCCAAGAATCCAACTCAGTGCCTTCCCATACGATAGGCAGAGCTGTGTATTGTACAACTTACAGTGGTTATTCTTGGCTTTATGGTACCCCAGGCGTGTTCTTCATGTAGGGTATGATGTGATCCATGCTGCCTGGTTTGTGGTGCTGTAATGTGGCAATGTTGATATCCAGTGGGTGGAGGATGGCCAGTGGGACGTAGTTCTAGCTATGAAGAGTAGAGGTCATGATGCAACTTTCCCTATTTTTCTGCACCCTCATTGCCCTCCAGCTCTTAGCCTGTTTGTAATTCTCAAGCTATGAATACTCGCTATAATCTGGAAAAAGGCCTTTTGAATTAGTAAAAGAATGAGAGTGTTTCATTGGTGTATTTTAAACAGGAAAACCTTTTTCAGGTCTTAAATCTGGCCAATTTAGACAGTAGATGTTCTTGTAGGTATTTCATAAATGTGTAGGCTAGAATTATGTGAGTTCAATAGATTTTTATGATTATAACATCAGATTTATTGTAGAAAATTTAGAAATTAATGAAGATGAAAGCTAAAATCACGAGTCATCTTGGGGCACCTGGGTGGCTAAGTGGGTTAAGTGTCTGCCTTTGGCTTGGGTCATGAGTCCAGAGTCCTGGGGTTGAGCCCTGCATCGGGCTCCCTGCTCAGCGGGGAGTCTCCTTCTCCTTCTCTCTTTGCCACTCCCCCTGCTTGTGTTTTCTCTCTCTCAGTCAAATAAAATCTTTAAAAATAATAATAGAAATAAAATCACCAGTAATCTCAGTAAACAACATTTTAATCACTTCCTTTTAAACTCTTTTTTGCTATGTATGGAAGGGAAAGGGGATGTGGGTGAGCACTTTTGAATCTTCTGTCTTAATTAAATGTTTTCCTGTGTCATTCTAAACATTTGTGGACAGTTTTATTGCCTGTATATATATCCCACAATGTAACCATTTAGTAATTTAATTATAGATCCAGTTTTAGATATTTAGCTTTTTCTAGCTTTTAGTTATTTCACGTTTTATTTAGTCCAGATTTTAAGCCTTTTTATCCCTGCCTACTCTTTATACATTGTACCGTCTTTGTAGGGTAACTGCTTTGGTATGTATTCTGATGTGTCTTATGTTTTCAGTGTGGCCAACCCAGCCCACCAGACTGGCTTCAAATGTGGTTTCTGTGACTAGAGGAAATACATTCCCCAAATCCTATTGTTAAAGATGTTTCTTTTACTCTTAATGAGGGCTCAAGATAAACTTCATCCCAATCTCTTAAGTTTAGAGAAATATATAAATGTTGCCTGTTGGTTAAAAATCTTCACTTCTCTTCCCTCATTGAGACTTAATTCTTTTATTTTGGTTATGAGAGAAGCAGAATCTTAGGTACCAGCCCTTGAGAGCACTTGGAGTTGAAGACTATGGGATGAATTGTACTCATTATTGAGTCATTCTAAAATTGTGTAGGTTTGATTAAAAATAAAAAGTAGTACTTTTATAATTTCAGAAATGAAAACTGTATTATTCAAATACATAGAAAAGGAGGATGAAACGAATCTGTATGTAGCATAGTGATTGCTGGTTACAATAAATACAGTTCTCCTAATTCTGGAGTGTGTTTGGATGGAGGAAAAAGGGAACAAACTTGATTTTACCATTAGGTTTCATTTGAAAAAATTAGAAAGTGACTTAAAATAAAAGTTTATTCATTTGCCAGACTTTTATTTAGTGTTTACTGTGTTCCAGGTACTGTCTTGAGTAGTGAAAAATTTAAATGAAAAAACAACGTAAAAGTTAACCAAAATGTTACAGTTGATATAATTTTCCCAAAATGTTACTGTCCTTGGTCCTGGCACTCACAGTTTGGTTCACTGTACTTCCCAGAGCATGCTTGGAAAAACCTTTTGGGAGATGTAAAACTATCTTTTTAATGGTCTGTCTGTCTCCTGCAGAGATCTAAGGAAGTCATAAACACTGAGGCTATCCCTAATACTAAAATACAAGCCATCAGCCGGGGACTTAAAAGAAAAAGAAAACCTGGTAAGCCCTTTCTTCATATGTGCTTAGGGGTGTGCAATGGAATCTTAAGTAGATTCTCGAGAAGTTGTCAGAGTTGTAAACAGGTCATCCAAAGTCAACTTAAAGTGGGTAATCGTTGATGGTAAAATTGGAAGTAAATGTCTTTAAGCATATCCTGTTTTTATCCTGCTTATGGTTTTGAGTTGCTTTTCCAGTGGAGCAACTATTATACAAAAAATCTTAATGGAGTGTATTCCTTCTTATCTGTCGGCATATGTTTCTCTGTTCTATGTCCTCTATTCAGAATATGATTTTCTGTGCTTTTAAAGAAAAATGCTTACTTTCTGAAATGGTTCATGTATGGAATTGTCAGGTTAGGCAAGTTCAACGTGATGTTCAACTTTTAGAAATCTATTTCTCACATTGAATTTTGAACACACCCTTTTAAAATAGGAAAATTATGTTCCTTAAAATAATCTCAGCATGGGTGTGCTTTGAAAGGTAATCTACTTCATTAATCCAGTGAGTACATATAATTAACCATTATTGAGAAGATTCTGAGGTGAAGTCTAACTGATGCTTTTTATTTCTGTGACTACCTAGGGCCAGATTCTCCAGTTTGAAACCAGGCTAATGGTAGTGGTGGATTCTTATAGGTGAGGTAGCTTTAAGGACACACACACATGAAATACAGACATAAAAGTGTTCGTGAAATATCTCTATGAAATACATTGATATTCTTAGATGAGTAATAGAGAGAATGCCTAAATGGCAATTCGTGTTTCTGTTTAACCTTTAACAGTGACTGTTTTTATTAGGCTAGAAGCTGGTTACTTTTTAACTAAATTTTATTAGCGTAAAACTTGATTAATTTGGATTTGACTTAAGTAACTAAAATGTATAGTTTCAACTTAAATTGCTGCAGTAAATTTAGGTGCTTCAAATTAGCTGTCAAGAATCTTACATTCAACTTTCTGACCCTGCATAGTTTCTTCATCTGTAAAATGAGAATGTAATACCATTTGTCACGTAAAACAGAAACTCTGAATTCAAAATACGACTTTACCAGTTTATAAGAGCCGTGTTCTGGAAGAAGAGTGCACACAGGTACAGTTTGAAGAGTTTAAACTTGCGCAACTTCAGAATGCATCAGAATTAGAGGCTTTCTCTTTTACTTATATATAATCCAAGAAATTGAGGTAGTCAGCAGGGTGAGGAGTAGGAGTCCTGTGACATTCTGCAGGGGAGGGGGATCTTGGGGTCCTAGTAACAGACTTCATAAGCTAAGTATAAAAGGTGCTGATAACATGTTTTTCAAAGAGTTGTAATATTTATCCAGCAGGGAGGAGTAAAACATTAGGCTCTTAACAGATGTTAACATTTTCTTTACCTTCTAGTTCTCTTTAAACACGTAGCTCTGTCTGTGGTGGTGGCACATTTCTTCACAGTCTCTTAGGGTTATTTTGAGGATTAAAGAAAAGGACGTGTTTAAAATACCTAGTACATACCTGATGCCTAGGCAGGGCTCAGTAAGTATTAGTTTCCTTGCTTCCAATGTCTCCCTGTAGCCTAGAACTATTTCCAGAAAAGCAGAATGACATCGAACAGTTTATTTTCTCTGTATGTTCTTGTTGCTCTTTCCTGCACTCCTGGACCATCACATCTTGGCTTTTGTTCATTCATTCTCTAAATACTCATTGTTCCCTTTCTTTGTGAGTTGGAACAGAGGAGGGGAGAACCAGAGGCTGAGTATTGAGCACTCTTTCCTTTAGGATTCTGCTGGGTATTGTCCAGTACAATACATTTCATTGTTCAGTACATACTTTTAAAACTTTTCATTTTTTAAAATGGTGACTATTCATTTTTCTGCCCTTTACATTAATATTTCAGAAAAATTGTAGACAATTTAAAATATTTAAAATCTGAAAAATAAAAATGGGGTTTAGCTTTAGCATTTGTGTACATATTTGCCGGATTGGAAACAGGAGTATAAGGATGGAAACCCTATTCAGGAATACAAGACAATTCCAGCTGTAGTGTGTAAAACACAGTTATAACTCTGTAGTAGCATGTAGTAAATAGGAGTGCAAATGTCTGAAACCATGTTATTTGTCATTTAGAGAAAGGCTGGGATTGGTATGTGTGTGAAGGTTTTCAGCAGATACTTTATCAACAAGCAGAAGCCTTAAAGACCCTTGGAGTAGACCCAGAATTAAAGGTAAGTCCATTCGTGTCTAGATGTTAGCCTTACATTCTGTTTGAAGAACAATAAGATTTGGAGTGAAACTAAGGAGAAAAGTGGGGTTATCAGTAATGACACTAGCTCCTGGAAGAATCATTTTTTTCTGATGTTTTTGCTTTAATCCTTTTATTAGACCATTAATTCCCAAAGTGTGTTCTACAGGATATAAGTAAGCAGTACAACCAAAAGAAAACCAAAAAGGTTTTAATCTTCAGATATTTAGGAAAGATTGGGTTAAATGAAGTAAAATAAATAACTTTGCAGACTATTTGGTGTCTTTTCTGTGTTAATGTGCTTGTTTGATTTCCAAAGGGATATAGTATACAGTATTCACAATTTGAGAACAAAATCCTTTAGTGTGTGTATATGTATGTAGCATTGATCAGGACTTGAGTTCCAGAATGTGCTTTGGGGAATAATATATTAAACCAGTGGTTCTCAACCTTGAAAGTATACCGGAATCATCTGAAAGGCTGGTTAAAACAAGATTACTGAACCGCATTCTAGAGTTTCTGATTCAGTATGTCTGGAGTAGGGCATTCCTAACAAGTTCCCAGGTAACACTGAGACTGCTGGTCCAGGGACCACACTTGGACTTTGCTGCCCCTCCAGAGTACCACAATATCCCTGCTGTTGTGTGAATTTCATGTTTCTTCATCTGGTTGAAGCCATTTCAGGAATTCCTTAAAAAGCCAGTTATTTAGGGGCGCCTGGGTGGCTCAGTCATTAGGCGTCTGCCTTTGGCTCGGGTCGTAGTCCCGGGGTCCTGGGATCGAGCCCCGCATCGGGCTCTCCGCTCAGCGGGAAGCCGGCTTCCCCCTCTCACACTCCCCCTGCTTGTGTTCCCTCTCTCGCTGTCTCTCTCTCTCTGTCAAATAAATAAATAAAATCTTTTAAAAAAGCCAGTTATTTAGCAACAAGTGGTTATTGCACACTTACTTAGTGCCCATTATTGGAAACCAGGTGCTAAGAGATCCAGCCTAGTTGGAGAGAGGGTTTTATGCATATGTGGAATGAGTAAACATGAAATGATAGGACAATGTGATCATAAGTGACATTAAGGGCAAAAAGAGAAGGTAGAAAGATCAATGTGGACTGAAGTCACCAAGGAAAGATTTATAAGGGAGCCTTTGCTGTTCAAACCAGTGTTTGGGGCAAGCCAGCAAGAATGCCCTCTAGGTTGATGCATGGCCTAGGAGAACTCTGGGCTGACCCTGAAAAGTATTTTAGGATTTAAAAATACAAAAACATGAGAGACCAGATGGCACCCATGGTGGTAGTCTGGGGGTTTGTGAAACTGATTTCTTTCAAGTCATCCTATGTTATAAATGCTTTGTAATTTATAATTTCATATAGTTATACCAAATAACTACAGTAGGGTTTATTCCTATATAGTTTTCTACCCACTTCATCAGGGTTAATTCTGAAAACAGTTTGTCTGAAATTAGCCGATGAACATAACTGTTTAGACCTGACCATTTAAATGGCACAGGAATGGCATTATGCTAAGAACACAGACTCTGGAATCAAAACTAACTCCAAATCCTATTAATGGATTTTCTACTTATTGGCTGGGTCATTTTTGGCCAATTTACTCAGTTTCTTTAGTGGTAAAATGGAGATAGTGGTTATCTTGCAGTGTTGTATTAGAGCTAATGGATGCCTAATACCTAGTAGGTGATGAATAAATAGAAAAGTTGTTTTGTTTTGTTATCTTATTTTACTTCCACTTGGACCCAATAGCAGCTCTGCCTCTAACTAGAAGTGTGGTCATATATAAGTTGCTTTCTTTCTCTCATTCTTAATATACTAAACTTACAAAATTAAGCGATTCAACTAGGTGATCTTTATGGAATTAGTCTCTTCTTTAAAAATCTAAGATTATGAAGAATTTATTCAGTGTTTCCCATATACCTGATTTTGTGATGATAATTCTTTTTATAGGTAGAAAGGTAAGAATACATTTAGATGGAGGGCAATATATAAAGTATAAGTGGTATAGATGTACCAGTGTATTTGTCATAATCACTACTCATTTCCCTTCTACCTTAGGATGAAGTTTTACATAATTTTTGGAAGCGCTACCTTCAGAAGAGCAAGCAGGCATATTGTAAAAACCCAGTTTATACCAGTGGAAGAAAAGCTACGGTAAGTCACAAGTCTGAGAAGCAGGATGAAAAGCCATTTCTAGTGTGAGGTAGAGATGAAGACAGGTTCAGCCTCATCTGGATTTATGATGCTTGTCAGAATTGTCAGTGAAGAGGTTTCTCTTATAGTCCAGAAGGACAGGGTCACTGATCTAGAATTAATTTTGACTTCTTACTTGACTAGTTGAAACAAATTTGTAGTTAAGTTCTAAATAGAAGCTTAAGGACTTTCCATTAATTTATAGTATTAGAAAAAAATTTTTTTTGCGTGTTTTTCCTTTTGCTTGGAATACCCACCTCCTGGTATTTCATGATTCGGCTCAGTTATCTCTACTCAGCAGTCTTTATGTGAAGAAAATAAGTCTGGATGCCTCACTACCCCCTCCCACATCCCCCAGAGCATTTATATTTTTAGTTTGCATTTAACTGCTTTATGAATGTGCCATGGGACATTTTACTTGGGATAGGAGAAGATTCCACCACTGAGAAAGGCAAGTTTGATAAACTGATAGGTTTGATGTGTAGTGCTTAGTCTTCAGGGCTGAGAAGAGATTCTGAATCTATTTGACACACATTTCTTAAGAGCTTGGAGACTTGGCCCAGTGTTTCCTTGTTTGGTTGGGGTTGCCTAGGTTCCGCATGCAGAGTTGAGTGATCCAGGACTGAGAAACCCGGGTCTGGGAGAAAGGAATAAGTTCTGAGAATGAGAAGTTTAGAGGAGCTAAGCCGTGAGAGAGACAATGATGGAAGGGGGACTGACCTAAGCGATTAGTGTAGGAAACTTCCTTTTTTAATCTGGGACAGTGCATTTAAATAAACTCAAGAGGAATAACTTGAATTTACTAGAGCAGACAATTTTATAATGATAGAGTTATGAAACATTATCCCCTCTTGATTCAGGAGGCAGGTGCTTCTCAAGAAAAACAAAAGATATGGGGCTCCTGGGTGGCTCAGTCGTTAAGCGTCTGCCTTCGGCTCAGGTCATGATCCCAGGGTCCTGGGATCGAGCCCCACATCAGGCTCCCTGCTCCACGGGAAGCCTGCTTCTCCCTTTCCCACTCCCCCTGCTTGTGTTCCCTCTCTCACTGTGTCTCTCCCTGTCAAATAAATAAATAGAATCTTAAAAAAAAAAAAGAAAAAGAAAAACAAAAGATGCTATGTGGTTCTCAGGTGACACTTTGAAAGAGAATAGAAAAGAAAGAGCCATCCAGGCTATTAAGAATCTGATCTTGGGGCACCTGGGTGGCTCAGTTAGTTAAGCATCTGCCTTCGGCTCAGGTCATAACCCCAGGGTCCTGGGATGGAGCCCCATGTCACGCTCCCTGCTAAGCGGGGAGTCTGCTTGTCCCTCTCTCTCGGCCCCTCCCCCCCTTGCACACACACACACACACACTCTCTCTCTCTCTCTCTCTCTCTCTCAAATAAATAAAATCTTTTTCAAAAAATCTGATCTTTAGAATTACATAGCTAAGGTATTGGTTGGTTATATTTGTACATTGGGGGTTTGCCTAGCACATAGAAAATTTGAATCAGAACCTGGAATTCTCTCTGACATTTTAACATTTTTAGGTTAACTTAAAATATTTAAAAAGGTTTTGTTAACTTGAATAAACACCTGTCTAAAGTAATATTAGCATCACACTAAAATCTTCTTGATGAATAAATAAGCAGTAAGCACAATTTTAATCTGATGTACAAATTGGTAATATAGTGTTTATTGCAGAGTACAGCTATTTTGAATATACTCTATTTTGGTTTTTGTTTGTTTGTTTTTTGTTTTTTAAGATTTTATTTATTTGACAGAGAGAGCACAAGCAGAGGGAGAGAGAGGGAGAAGCAGGCTCCCTGCTGAGCAAGGAGCCGGATGTGGGACTCAATCCCAGAGCCCTGGGATCATGACCTGGGCCGAAGGCAGCCGCTTAACCGACTGAGCCACCCAGGTGTCCCATACTCTATTTTGAAAGGAACAAGTACTTTTAAGTTAGAAGCTTAGTCTTTGGGGTGCCTGGGTGGCTCAGTTGGTTAAGCTTCTGCTTTCAGCTCAGGTCATGATCTCAGGGTCCTGGGATTGAGCCCCACATCAGGCTCCCTGCTCAGCAGGGAGTCTGCTTCTCCCTCTCCCTCGTCTTGGCACTCTCCCTGCTTGTGTGTGTGCATGTGCATGCTCTCTCTCTCTCTCTTTCTCTCTGTCTGCCAAATAAATAAATAAATAAATAAATAAATCTTAAAAAAAAAAAAAGAAGAAGAAGCTTAGTCTTCTCCAGTATGGTACTGGCACCAAAACAGACACATAAATCAATGGAACAGAATAGAGGACCCAGAAATGGACCCTCAACTCTATCGTCAATTAATCTTCGACAAAGCAGGAAAGAATATCCAATGTATAAAAGACAGCCTCTTCAACAAATAGTGTTGGGAAAATTTGACAACCACATGCAGAAGAATGAAACTGGACCGTTTTCTTACACCATACACATAAATAGACTTAAAATGGTTGAAAGACCTAAATGTGAGATAGGAATCCATCAAAATCCTAGAGGATAACACAGGCAGCAACCTCTTCGATCTCAGCAGCAGCAGCTTCTGGCTAGACACGTCTCCAAGGCAAGGGAAAGAAAAGCAAAAATGAACTATTGGAACTTCAGCAAGAGAAAAAGCTTTTGCACAGCAAAGGAAGTAGTCAACAAAACCAAAAGACAACTGATAGAATGGGGGAGGATATTTGCAAATGTCTTAATCAGATAAAGGGCTAGTATCCAAAATCTATAAAGAACTTATCAAACTTAACACCCAAAGAAAAAATAATCCAGTCAAGAAATGGGCAGAAGACATGAACAGACATTTCTGCAAAGAAGACCTACAGATGGCCAACAGACACAGGAAAAAATGCTCAACATCACTCTGCATCGGGGAGTGATCAAAACCAAAATGAGATACCATCTCACACCAGTCAGAATTGCTAAAATTAACAATTCAGGAAATGACAGATGTTGGCGAGGATGTGGAGAAAGGGGAACCCTCTTACGCTGTTGGTGGGAATGCAAGCTGGTGCAGCCACTCTGGAAAACAGTATGGAGGTTCCTCAAAAAGTTGAAAATAGAGCTACCCTACCACCCAGCAATTGCACTACTAGGGATTTACCCCAAAGATACAAATGTAGCGATCCAAAGGGACACCTGCACCCATTGTTTATAGCAGCAATGTCCACAATAGCCAAACTATGGAAAGAGCCCAGATGTCCATCAACAGATGAATGGTTAAAGAAGATGTGGTGTATATATATAGAATGGAATATTACTCAGCCATCAAAAAAAAAAAGAAATCTTGCCATTTGCAATGACGTGGATAGAACTGGAGAGTATTATGCTAAGTGAAATAAGCCAATCAGAGAAAGACAATTATCATATGATCTCATATGTGGAATTTAAGAAACAAAACAGGATCATAGGGGAAGGGAGGGGAAAAATAAAACAAGATGAAATCAGAGAGGGAGACAAACCATAAGAGATTCTTTTTTTTTTTTTTTAAGATTTTATTTATTTATTTGACAGAGACACAGCGAGAGAGGGAACACAGGCAGGGGGAGTGGGAGAGGGAGAAGCAGGCTCCCCATTGAGCAGGGAGCCCGATGCGGGACTCCATCCTAGGACCCTGGGATCATGACCTGAGCCAAAGGCAGACGCTTAACCAACTGAGCCACCCAGGCGCCCCAAGAGATTCTTAATCATAGGAAGCAAACTGAGCATTCCTGGAAGGGAGGGGTAACTGGGTGATGGACATTAAGGAGGGCACGTGGTGTAATGAACCCTCGGTATTATATAAGATGATGAATCACTGAACTCTACCTCTGAAGCTAATAATATACTATATGTTAATTAATTGAATTTAAATTAAAAAAAGAAAAAAAAAGAAGCTAAGTCTTCTCAAATATTCAGTAATTTCTTCATGCTTTGAATGTGACTGCACCAAGAATAGTAAGAGGCCTGCATCTGAATCCTGGCTCCACTACTGTGACTTGTGTGATCTTGGGTGAGATAAATTACTTAAAACTTCCAGAAAAAATGAACAAGCAATTATTATAAATCAGGGTAGGGTAAGGGAGATAGAAAATGGTGTGGCAGGAAAGGGTGCTATTTATGATGTGATCAGGGAAGGCCTCCCCTCCCTGATCGGGAATCTTAGGTGAGAGTAAGCCATGAGGGATATCTGGGGGAAGAAATGCAGAATTTCAGGCCTCACCCAGACCTACTGAATCAGAATCTGCATTTTTAACACCGTTCCAGGCGCTTCCTGTGCACACTAAAGTTTGAGAAGCCCTCTTCCAGATAAGACATGGTATGGTGGTGGCTGGGACAAGGTGGTAGCAATGGAAATGATAAGTGCTAGGATTCTAGATAAACTTTGGATAGGGTCATCAGAATTTCCTGATGGGTTGGATGTAGGGTGTGAGAGAAAGAGGAGTCATCAAGGATAACTTAAGTTTGGGGCCTGATACAACAGGTGGAACCGGAAGATCTACAGTTCCATTTTGGACATGTTAAGTTTGAGACAGCTGGTAGACATCTACGAGGAAATTCCAAGTACTTAGATTTATAGGTCTTCAATTCAGGAAAGAGGACTGTGTTAGAGATAAAAATTTGGATGTTGTTAATGTACATTATAATCATCACATCTTAAATGCCATTGTTTGGAAGATACACCATTATTTTATTTATTTATTTTTTTATTCTTATGTTAATCCCCATACATTACATCATTAGTTTTAGATGAAGTGTTCCATGATTCATTGTTTGTGCATAACACCCAGTGCTCCATGCAGAATGTGCCCTCCTCAATACCCACCATCAGGCTAACCCATCCTCCCACCCCCGTCCCCTCTAGAACCCTCAGTTTGTTTTTCAGAGTCCATCGTCTCTCATGGTTCGTCTACCCCTCCGATTTCCCCCGCTTCATTCTTCCCCTCCCGCTACCTTCTTCTTCTTCTTTTTTTTTTCTTAACATAACATATATTGCATTATTTGTTTCAGAGGTACAGATCTGAGATTCAACAGTCTTGCACAATTCACAGCACTTACCAGAGCACATACCCTCCCCAGTGTCTATCACCCAGTCACCCCATCCCTCCCACCCCACCCCCCACTCCAACAACACTCAGTTTGTTTCCTGCGATTGAGAATTCCTCATATCAGTGAGATCATATGATACATGTCTTTCTCTGTTTGACTTATTTCACTCAACATAATACCCTCCAGTTCCATCCACATCGTTGCAAATGGCAAGATCTCATTCCTTTTGATGGCTGCATAATATTCCATTGTATATATATACCACATCTTCTTTATCCATTCATCTGTCAATGGACATCTTGGCTCTTTCCACAGTTTGGCTATTGTGGACATTGCTGCTATAAACATCAGGGTGCACGTACCCCTTCGGATCCCTACTTTTGTATCTTTGGGGTAAATACCCAGTAGTGCAATTGCTGGATCATATGGTAGCTCTATTTTCAACTTTTTGAGGAACCTCCATACAGTTTTCCAGAGTGGCTGCACCAGCTTGCATTCCCACCAACAGTGGAGGAGGGTTCCCCTTTCTCCGCATCCCCGCCGATACACCATTATTCTAAATATCCCCAAGAAAGAAAATAATGCTGCAAATCAAACTGTGACATGCCCTTGGTTGTAAGATACACCCTGATGTCAGGGATACTAAAATATGGGGAAAAGGCAGTGCATTTTAGAGTCGAAAACAACATTGTAGGTAGTGTTTAAAACCACAAGACCAGATGACATCACTGAGGAGTGAAGACAAGGGGACCAAGGACTGAGCTCTGGGATAAAAGCAGATGTCTGGGATAAAAGCAGAACCTACAAAGAACTCTGAGGAGCAACTGGTAAATTAGGAGGAAGCCTGGAGAGTGAGGGGGCATTCTGGAATCCAAGGAGCAAAATGTTTCAAGAAGAGGGGATTGATCAACTGGGAAATGCTGCTGCCTGGTCAGGAAGGAAAAGGGCTAAAATTGGATGAGTAGAACAGTGGAGTCACAAGTTTGATTAGAATGAGGTATGAGATAGACTGGGAAGAGAGAAATTGGAGACGGTGAGTCTGGATAACTCTTCCAAGGCATATTGCTGCAAAGAAGTACATAGAAATTATATTATAGCTGGAGTCAAGGAAAGTTTTTCTTTTTTTAAGTGGATAAATGATAGCATATTTGTGTACTGATAGAAATAATACAGGAGAGAAGAGATTCTCAATGCGGAGAGGGAAAATAGAAATGAGGGATAGATAATCTTTGAGTAGAAAGGGTGGGATTGGGTGCCCAGAGGGAAAAACTGGCTTTTTTTTTTTTTTTTTAAGATTTTATTTATTTATTAGAGAGAGCATGCACAGGTGGTGGGGAGGGGCAGAGGGAGAGGGAGAAGCAGGCTCTCCACTGAGCAAGGAGCCCGACGCAGGGCTTGATCCCAGGACCCTGAGATCATGTCCTGAGCCAAAGGCAGTTGCTTAACCGACTGAGCCACCCAGGCGCCCCAAAACTGGCTTTTTAGATGTCAGCTTGGATAGTCCACCAGAAGAATCAGACAGAGAGTAGAGTATGTGGTCAAATTCCTGGCAGATGGTTGTCTGCATAAGCTTGTGGACGTTTTCTTCTGTGATTGCTTCAAATTTCTCAATCAGTCCATGCTTGTCTGCCAGTTTTATGGTGTACCTTGTTTCATATGCTCACCTTTAGAGAGGGGAGGTACTTGACAGATGACACAAGCATCTCATCCCTGATTTTTTTATTTTTTATTTTTTTGCTTTATTCTCTTGTGAATTTCCTTAACATGAGTCTTACCTCCTCTTGATAAGATTGAGTTTCTTGGTCTGTGTGGCTGATAATGTGACTTTTTAACTGTGATCAGTTTCCCCAAGGTTATGTCAGCTAATGAGGCCTTTAGATAGCCAGCCAGCTGACCTTTCTTAGGAACACTGTGACCACCATTTCAACAATACATGTGTGAAAAATTAAACAATGGTATCAGTTAGTATATCCTTGTCAGTTAAGTGTTATAAATAGTAAAGTGCCACAGGAGTTCAGGAAATCGAGAACTCATTGAAGAAGAGTTGGTTGGAAAGACTGCATGATAGAGTAAATAATGAATTGGAGAGAAAGAGAAGAAAGGCTAGTCTGGGCAGGAGAAATGGAATTAACAAAGATACAAAGCAAAAATTCCCAGGTAGGCTCAGTGAAGAGAAGCCAGCATTGTGCAGGAGTCATTGTTGATGTTTTTATTGGTGTGGCTACTAGGGCTACAAGAGAGATGTTAGTTAGAGGGAGAAGGAAGCCTAATGTGTCTGCTGGCAGCCTGTTCCCTTGCTCACCCTTGTCTGTAGCCTTTCTCCAGAAGTGTTCCAGGAACAGCTGGGGAGCACATTGTAGAGGTAAAAGTATTTTAGTTTTAGGAATGGCAGATAGTTGCAGTTCTCTAGAGTAGTTTACTTTATGGTGTTTCAGATAGGCAGGACTTGGAAGCTCATGGAAATTAATTGCATTTTAAATTCCAATGTAATAACTTTATGTGTGATATTTTGCAAATAGGTATTAGAAGATAACCCAAGTCATTCAGACTGGGATAGTGAGCCTGACCTGCTGAGTGACTTTAGCTGCCGTTCTTTTGTTGAAAGTGGAACAGACTCTCAGCCTGATGGCCGCACTCAGAAGCCTTTCCCCATCAGCAAAGCATCACAATCAGGTAAAAATGAGAATCAGACTATCTGGAATTTTAAAGCTGATAATGCGCCTTAAAAATAGTTTAGTCTAATCTTTTCATATTGCAAGGAAAGGAACTTGGCCTAGCAAGAAAGAATGATTTGCTAAATCATTTGGCTAGGAGAAAGGTAAATTAAATGAAATCTCAGTGCAATTTTTAAAAAGGTACATTGTTTCCACATGAGTATTTTTGTGTGATTTTTAAAGAACTTAAATAATATGTGGATCCAGAGAGAAGGAAGCTAGCTAACAGAGATCATATATATGTGGGCTCAGAATTTTCAAAGAAAAGTTGCAATAGCGAGATGATAGATCTTAGCCATATGGTCAAATAGGTAAGAGTCAAAGACGGTATGTCCAATTTCTAAGCATAGACTGAAGCACAACTTACCATATCATGTGTATGTGTGTGAGTTTTACTCTCTGATTTAATTCCATAATCTAAAATAGATAAGGAGTATGTTTAAGGTAACAGATACAGACCTTCTCAAAGTATTTATTCATGGTTTTTGTTGTTTCCACGCTACATTTTTTTTTTTTTTTTTTTAAAAACAACATGATGGAAAACAGACCTCTAAGAACAGACCAGGCTCTTATTATAGATTACTAGAATCTTGATGTGTGCTGACAGAGTTCTTTGGGAAATAGCTTCCAAACTGTCTGGTGTTAGGGATTGTGGAAATCTGGATTGTGTGGTTATATAAAATTTTCAACAAAACATTTTTTGTATGGACTGCTGCTTTGCAAGCCTCTTGCCCTCCAAAGAGTAAAAATTCCTTTTATCAGTATATCCGCATTACTTGCTGGACTGCACAGTGACACAGATATCAGATAAGTTACTTTCTGTGTCCAAAGAAGTAAAGAAGTTAGGATGATAGAATAATTGGGCAGCAGTGAATCTCTGGAGTTTCTGGCTCCATGCTTTCAGGCAGGCCTGAACTCAAATTGTCCCAGACAACTAGGACTCTCAAATCGTCCAAGCCTTTTAGAGCACCATGATTGTTTACCTATGTTAAGAGTTTTTGTTTGTGTGTTTGTTTTTTAGTAAGTGATGATCCTTACAGTTTTATTTTAGTTTTTACATTTAAAGTAACTACGAATATAACCCAATCAAAACTCTAAAATACAAATAGTCACAAAGAAAAAATCACCAGTTACTGTGTCATCCAAAAATAACCACATTGCTGTGGTAGATCATTCCAGAAAGTTTTTTATTCATGTATATATAGAGAGAGAGGGAAAGAGTTTTATTATTTGTTTTTACAAAAATGTGTGCTATTCTTTACATTTTTAATCAAAATCCTACATGCATGTAATTTAAAAATATTTATAAAGCTTGTTATGAAAAGGTTATAGTCCCTTGTTCCCCTAAATGTGCTGTTCCCAAGAGGCATTCATTTTCAGCTCTTCGGCAACTTCCTTAGCTCCATATCATATGCTTCTAGTACTACATCTTGATTTCTGCTTTTGGACATTAGCTGTTAAATTCCCACTATAAAAGATGAAGTCTTGGCTATTTCACACATTCCTCACTGCTCCTCTCCCCATGTAGTCACCAGCACACAATTGTGCATTTCTTTTTCTCTTTCTTCCCAATATAATTATAATTTTTTACTAGCCCAATATTTAACGTGAGCCATATAGCTTACTATGATTACATTTCTATACATATTTTTGTTTTCCCAGAGTTGATAATTGCCTTGTTATTTAGTTTTCTATTTATTTTATTACCAATCTATAATTTATTAGTAGTGTATCTCCACATTTCCTCCCAGTTCTGAAAATCTCTCAATTTCTTAGATATTCTACCAATTTCATATTCTGGAAGAAATCTTTGTGGAACTTCTGACCTACTCTAATCTACAAGGATATATCTCTAAACCTATGACCCAGCTATCTTTGGGATCTCTTTACCAACATCCTGAAAATTTTCTTATCCCTCTTTTGTTAAATTCCTTATTTCCTTGACTGTGTTTCATCTTTTCCTGGTTTACTCCATCATTTTTGTAGTGCATCTTTTCTTATTTTACTGAGGATATTGATATATTGATAATATTCCCCCTTGACTTGATCCTTTTGTTCTCTGCTTTTTGTATTAGAGGGTTTCTTCAAATGTTTATGAGCCTATTATAGCTAGTCTTAAGAATGGAGACTAAAAAATTGAGTGAAAGCCTTCTACCCATGGAGAGTTTTGTTAGTTGTGCTGTGCATGATCTAGCTGGATTATTTTCTTAGCAAGCCTCCAGCATTATCGTCTTTAAATCTTTTCCCCCTGAGCTGATAGGATTTTCAAGAGAAATCTCTTTGAGTCATCTGTTTGGAGGGTGTAATCCTGGCTGTTTAGGAACTAGGTGGGTAGAAGGCCTGAGGGGTGTGTGGGGGTTGGGGGCTGTCTCAGTACTCAATATGTACACTTTCACTTAATCTTCCCGTTTTTAATAATACACCCTATTCTCAACTGTGTATATGATTGACATGCCCTATTCCAGAGACCCTTTGTTTTACTCTCTCCAGAGGAGAAACTTCTAATTTCCTGCCCAGATTAGGAAGTGGGGGGCAGGCATTTGCTGCACAGAGTTGGGGCAGGAGTCTGAGTATCTGACTGCGTCTCTCTCAATCAACTTTCGAGCAATCTCTCTTGTGTTAGACCTACTTTCACCCAATTTCCAGGATTTAACCAATTCTGGAGCTTTCTTTAGGGGTCCCCAGGGGAAGGTTACATTGGTTTATAGTTTTCCCTTCTGCTGGCTTTGAATCCAGCTTTCTCAACACTGCTAAGGCAGTAATCACCTGTACATATGCTTTCCAGCTTTTAAAATTTTATTGCTGTTGTCTCCTTCTCCATGTTGTTAGTTCTTGAGTTTATATCTATCTTAAAAATTCCTGTATAATTGTTGTAGTGGGACAGAGCAGAGGCTACTATGTGTTTTCAATCTGCCATCTTAACTGGAAACCTCTATATGTTGGAGAGCCTCTCTCTATTTTATATATATATATACATATATATATTAACATAATACTTTATTGAAATCTATATATATATGGATTGGTAGGCTCAGTAATTTGCATCTATAATAAGTTCTCAGGTGATGCTAATACACCTGTTATAGGGACTATACTTTGAGAACCACCAACTTAAGCATTGAGTGAATTGGTATGTAGTATTCCATTGTGTAGAGTTAATTAAATTTCTACTCCTGTCACTTTGGTTGTTTTAAATTTGTTTCATATTATAAACAGTACTGCCACAACATGTCTTGACCTTGAATCTTTGCATATTTTATTTACTTATTTAAAAGATTGTATTTTATTTATTTGTCGGAGAGAGAGAGCATAAGCAGGGGGAGCGGCAGGCAGAGGGAGAAGCAGGCTCCCTGCTGAGCAGAAAGCCCGATGTGGGACTCGATCCCAGGACTCTGGGATCATGATCTGAGCCGGAGGCAGATGCTTAACCGACTGAGCCACCCACACGGCCCTCTTTGCACATTTTAAAAATCTTTTCACTCTGGTGAAAATCTTGAACTGCTAGCCTCTTTGTCACCAAATATTTATTGGGTTCCTCCTTTGTGCTAGAGCCTGCTTGGGGCCCTGGGGACACAGTGATGAGCAAGGCTGTCTGCCTTCAAGGTGCTTAGATTGTTGTAGGAGGAGCTGGACAGTAAGTGCACACATTTATTAAAAAGTTCAGTTATTGATAAATGCTATGAAGAAAGGATTTATAGGATTTGGAAAGAGGGATTTTGAGAAATAATTTGGAGAGTTTTGTCCAAGAAAGCATGGAGTCTCTTGAGGTCATTCTTAGTCCTGCTTTCTACTTATCCTACTTCTGGCTTTAAATATCAGCTACATCCTGATGACTCAGAAATTTCTATCTCTAGGTTCTTTTCTGAACTACAGATTTTTTTTTTTTAACTACAGATTTTTATATTCAACTACCTACTTACCATTTCCATTTGTACAGTTAATAGGATCTTACATTTAACACATGCAATTCTAAAACCTTGATTTCTTTCATCAAACCTGCTCTTTTGCTATCTTCCGTGTCTCAGTAAATGGCATTTTCATTCTCCTGGTTGCTCAGGCCCAAACTCTCAGGATCACACTTGACTTCTCTTTTTCCCTCATATTTCACATTCAGTCCACCAGCAAATTCTTCTGACCCTGGCTTCAAAATATGTCCAGATTCCAGCCACTTCTCACCACCTGCACTGCCACCACTCCAGTCCAAGTGTTTGTCATTGCTGTCCTTAATGGTGGTGGTCTGTGTCCACTCTGGCCCTCCTATAGCTCCATTCTTCCTGTAGCAGCCAGAGAGAGCTTTTTAAAAATACAAATGAAATCAGGTTGTTCCTCTGTTTAAAACTCTCCAGAAACGTCTTATAATATCCAGAATAAAATCCAAAGTACAAAACGTGACCTACAAAGTCCTGTGTACTCTCCTAGCTAGTGTTTTGGAGAGCCTCTCAGACCTTTAAAGGGACATGTGGGTTGGGGCCTGCATCAAAGCAGTTACATACTTTTTGCTTTGCTTTGTAATTGTTTATTCTTGTATTTATTTGAAAAATTGTTCCTATTCACTATAAGAAATTCAAGCAGGTCACATCCCTCTTTAGAATCTCAGCCCATCCCACTCCCATAAAGAACCAACGAGTACCTTTTTGGTCAATTTCCTCTAAGCCGTCATTGCACTTTATTGCCATATTGTTCTTTTAAAGATTGTATCAATTATAACTTGATTTTAAGATATTGAAAATGCTTCTTTGGATTCTTCTTGTTGTTTTTCTTCTTTTGTTGTCCAAATAGTTACCTGCACTTAAAAAAAAAAAATCTTCATTATCCCCTAAGAAACAGCATCCATCCGTTCTGGATCTCTCGACGGAGTCGAATATTCACTACGAAAGGAGAAGGGAATCGTGAAGATGACGGTGCCAAGGACACTTGCTTTCTGCCATCTGTCATTACTGTGGCAGAGAGAAACAATTACTCTTTCAGATCTTTTGAGGTAAGCTCGACCTCTCGTATACTGATGTCTTTGCTGATTATCTGTGTGAACTAGGGGACAAACTTTGGATATCTTGAATTTTACAAGGAGACTTAAATTGAGGGAGAGACAGGAAAGATTGGGTAGCCTGAGTTCTAGTTCTGAAATGTAATCTTCTTCTGGCTGGTAACTCATCTCCTTGGTTTCCTTATTCATATAGTGCAAAAATGGTATTTACCTTACACGGGGTGTTGGAAAATTAATTGTCTAACGTGAGTAAAATGCTCTAAAGATGAAAAGTGACACTGAAGTACCTTAGTGGTAGTATTAAGTGTTTTGCATTTCTAAGAGAGAATATGAACAGATGACCTTCATATTGGCAAATGGTTATTAGTAGCTCCACAGTAACTTACATTGGTGTCGGTAAGAGCTAGAATATAGGTTCTCTGTGTTTATAAGATAAGCTGAAAACAGAACTATTAGAACCTCTTAGTAGATGGTCAGTATTTATGTTTTTTCAAGATAATTTACAGTGTTTTATAGTTAATGAGTTAATTAGGGCACTGTGTATAAGACTTTCTCATTAAATAGAAGATGTGCCAAAATCATTAGTGTGTTCATATTTCCCTTGCTTTATATGTATTCTAAATAATAACATTTGGGTTTAGTCAGTGTGTGGAGTGATTTTAAGAGCACAGATTTGGAACCGGACTTCTGGATTTGAATCCTAGCTGTGCCACTTATATGTGACCTTGAGTAAATTATTTAATTTCTCTTTGCCTCTGTTTCATCCTTGGTGAAATGGAGCTGATAATAACATCTACCTCACAGAGTTGTAACTACTTCCAGTAATTACTACTGCATGAAAAGCACTCAGGACAGTGCCTAGCACATAATAAGAACTCAATGCTAGTTATTATTGTTTTGTTTTCTTCATCATCATCATCATCAGTACTAGGCCCTTTGATTAAATAAAATGCCTCCAGTAAATGATGATAGTGCCTTTGAATTTGGCCACATCAACCAAATAACAAGGCTTTTCTCAGAGGTGATTAATTCTGCATGCAGATAGTCCATGATTCAGTGAATTTTACTGTTAAGTTAAAAACCTCACCTTGCTCTATATGCCTTCATTGGGTGATCTCATCTTCTCCCAAGGCTTTAATTACCATCTATATGATGATGACGACGCCCAAATTTATTTCTGCAGCCCAGACTTGTCTAGTGAGGGTCAGACTCATATAGTCATACATACAACTGCCTGTTTGTTGGACACTACTTGGGTGTCTTTATGATATCTCAAAATCAGCATGATGAAAAGAAGTCCATCTTTCATCATCTTTCTCCTTAATCCAGCTCCTTCAGTGTTTTCTTTCCTCTGTAAATATCACACACTCCATTTCTTCCTATCCAGAAACTTAAGATTCATCCTTGACTCTTTCCTCTCTCTAGAGCTACAGTCAGTCATTACATCCTGTCAATTATACTTCCAAAACAACCCTTGAAACCATTTTTCTCCCCATTCCCTCTATATCTTCACTTGGATTACTTAGCAACCTCCTAAGTGGGCCCTGTGCCTACAGTCTTGTGCCTCTCCTATCCATTTTCCTTTCCATAGCACAGGAATCTTACAGAAACAACAATCAAATCATGTCACTAGAGCTGGGTAGAGGGGCCGTCCAACTACCCAGGGCAATCTGTAAGGGAGTAACGAGACTCCTAGAAACCTAACAAGATGGAGAAAATAATGTTCACCTGTAATTCTTCCTAGGGAGAATATGAGATGTGGTTGGAAGGATGGGGGTAAAATCCTACACATTTGTCTTTCTCTCTCTCCCTTTCTGTTCCACCTTCTTCCTCTTTCCTCCCCTCCCTTAAAGGAGAATTCTGAAGTGCCTTCAAGGAGATTGGATCTAATTAGCTGGAGGGCTTTTATTTTGCTCTGTGGGATACACATTTGGGAACTGAGCCTAAGTGCTTGGAGCAACAGGAAAGGGGACTGTTACCACTGATCCACTTTATTTTTCTCAGAGACGGAGCTCTAAGTCACAGGTTCTCAAAGTGTGGTTCCCTGACCAGCAGCATCAGCATCACCTAGGAATTTATGAGTATGTAAATTCTAACCAGATTCTAACCCATTCTAACCTGAATCAAAAACTTGGGGGTAGGGCCTGGTAACTCTGTTTTAATAAGCCATCCAGGGGATTCTTATGGATGCTAATGTTTGAGAACTACCACCAAACTGGGAAAAAGTATTTTAAAAACATTGGTGTGAAGGAAATACATTATTAGTCTGGCCCCAGTACCCCTATATCTTATACTCATCCTGCATGTCATTCCCCGGGTTAAATCCTTTAGCAGTACCCATAGTCCTTAGGATAAATTCATAACTCAAAGTAGCCTTTAATTAACCCTGTCTGGGGAACTAAGTGGCTCAGTTGGTTGAGCATCCGGCTCTTGATTTCGGCTCATGTCATGATCTCAGGGTCATGGGATTGAGCCCTGTGTCAGGTCTGTGCTCAGTGGAGAGTCTGCTTGGGATTCTCTCTCTCCCTTTGCCCTTCCTCCTGCTTGATCACTCTCTTTCTCAAATAAATTTTTTTTTTAAGATTTTATTTACTTGAGAGAGAGAGAGAGCACAAGCAGGGGGAGAGGCAGAGGGAGAGGGAGAAGCAGGCTCCCCGCTGAGCAGGGAGACCGATGTGGGGCTTGATCCCAGGACCCTGGGATCGTGACTTGAGCTGAAGGCAGACACTTAACCGACTGAGCCACCCAGATGCCCCTCAAATAAATAAATCTTTAAAAGAATAAAAATAACCCTGTCTACCTAGTGATAACAACAATAATAAATAAGAATAGTCAATGTGTATTCATTCCACAAATATTTATTGAATACCGACTAGATGCAGGTATTTTTCTAGAGTCTAGACCCTTGAATCACAGTTGTGAACCATAGAGAACAAGTTCCTGCTCTCGTAAAGTTCAAGACTAAAGGAGGAAACAGACAAGCATTTCAATAAATAATGATTAAAGAGTGAAGTGCTATGCAGAAGATTGGCATCAAGTGATGGCTCTTTTAGACTGGTCATTAGGAAAGGCCTCACTGAGAAGCTCTCTGAATGGAAGTAGAGCTGGCAGGTGAGTGTCAGCAGTACTAGGGCTCCAGGTAGAAAGAGGCTGCTAGTGTCAAGCCCTCAAGCTAGAGCAAGTTCTGTGATCAAGGAGCAGAGGAGGCTCGTGCAATAGGAGTAAGAATTTGAAGGAGCAGTAGGAGGGTGAGGACAGAGAGATAATAAGCAGGGGCCAGGTACAGGTCTTTGTGAGCCAGGCTAGTTTGGGTTTTTTTTTTTTAATTGAGGTACAATTCATATATGGTAAAATTCACCCTTTTAAATGTGCAATTTAGTGGTTTTCAGGATATTTACAAGGTTGTGCAACCATCACCTCTATTTTCAGAGCATAATCATCACTCCAGAAGGAAACCCCTAATATGCCTTAAGAATTTGGCTTTTGAGTGTGATAGTAAGCCTATTTTCAGAGCATAATCATCACTCCAGAAGGAAACCCCTAATATTCATTAGGAATTTGGCTTTTGAGTGTGATAGTAAGCCCCTGGAAGATTTTAGCAGGGAAGACATTCTCTGACCATTCAATCAGCTATAAGGAAAATGGATTCTAGGGAGGCAAGGGTGAAAGCAGAGAGACCAGGTAGTCTTTTGCTATATTTCTGGCAAGAGATAGTGGCTTGGAGTAGGATGGTGGCAATTGAAATGGAACAAGGTGAATGGGCTCTGGGTGTGTTTGCAGGTAGACACGACCTAACTCCAGTGCAGTACTTCTTAAATTATCTGTGATAAGAACCAATTTGTTAAATTTCCAATCTATCACAGATTGAAACTTCTGAAAAATACAACAAAATTATAAATAGAGACTGTTTTCAAGGGACATGGCCAGGCAAGGCATATGGGATGCTTTTAGTCTATGGCAAATCCTCTGTCAACTTGCTGGACTGATTCAGAGACTCATCTGACAATACTTAACAAAATGAAATCGATTATTTAGAGCTTTGATTCAATAGCTATCTTTTGGAAGAGTATATATTTTTCTAAAAGGAAATTTTTTAAAAACCCACCAAACTTGAAAAGAGATTACGAGCAGCACTATTATAAATGGTAAAAATTGTTAAAACCCCAGATGGCCAAGACCTGCTCTGCTTTCCCTGGCCAGGTTTCTCATTCCTTCCTCTGCTCCTACAGCACTGTGCGTGTCTCTGTGGGGCACTGTCTTTACTGACGCATCCACTGCCCGTCTGCCGGTCCTGCCAGGGCCGTGGTGGGGCTTTTCATGTTTTATTATAAGACTCTGAACTAACCCTCACACAGGGCTGGCATATGTGTATTATCATATGGGGGCAATGACTATGTAAATTATGAATATATTAACATCATAGAACACTACATAGTTATGAAATGATAAGCATGCGATACATAGTGTATATGAAATAATATTAAACCAAGAATGTAGTTCTAAAATAATATGAATACTGATTACGATGCACACATACTTTTACGTAAATGAAAGAAATGAATAAAAATCTAAATGAGGATGGTTTTCCCTATAGCGCTGTTCTAAAGAAGCCTGCTTTATTGTTAAACTTCATACAACACCCTTTTTACATATAATTTACTTTAATTCTCAACTTTCAGTAAACTAAAAGAAATCATATTTTTAATTTGAAATTAAAGGTCGTTCACACACACAAAGCTAGAAGCTAGATGTCAGTTTAGCTGTAAGAACAACAAAGATTTTAATGCAAAACATTTGTATACTAAATTATTCCCGTCTTTATCTTATTTTCCTTAACTATTTTCATATTTTAAAAATCTAATAGATAGGGGTCCCTCAGTGGCTCAGCTGGTTGTGTCTGCCTTCTGCTCAGGTCATGATCCTGGAGTCCTGAGATTGAGTCCCACGCCGGGCTCTCTGCTCATTGAGGAGCCTGCTTCTTCCTCTCCCTCTGTTCCTCCCCCCTGCTCGTGCTCTCTTTCTCTCTCTCTGTCAAATAAATAAATAAAATCTTTTTTAAAAAATCTAATAGAGATATATATATATGGCCTAGGTTGCAATACCCCCATTCCTCACTCCATGTTCTTCCCTGCTTTATTGTTCTCCTTACCATCTTTACCCACTTAACATACGATAGATTTCATTCATTTGTTTTGTTTGTCATCTCTTTTCATGAGAACATAAAACTCCTTGGGAACAAGAATATTTTCCTATTTTGTTCATTGCTGTTTGCCCACAGCCTCAAATAGTGCTGCGTTTTAGTACTTGATAAATTTCTGTGACTTAATGAATGAATTATAAATAAATATATATGTGTATTTATTTATATATATATACTATTTTCTCCAAACTCAATTTACTCAAAATATTTGATCAGCTGCTATGTACTGGACGTTGGGATGGAGTGGTAAGCAGATGGGCAAGGTCCCTTCCCTGAATTATCTCTAGGGGCAGGCATCTCCTGTGCACTCTCGGAGGGACTGAGGACAGGCAGGTAGACAAGGGAGGTGTTCTAAAAAGGAAAATGGACCCAGGGAGGTCTCCTCGAGAGAGTGATTTAGAAGAAGAGTAGATGCTCATCATGTGAGGGGAGCTAGGGATAGAAGGATGCTGTGTCTGCAAGCCTGGTAGTGAATTGGCAAATAAGACACATACTTCATAGAAATATTTCATCTAGTTAGTCAGAAACTTAAGGTATCATTAGATAATTGGCTACACATGGGTGTAGAGAATAACTGATCTTTCCAGATTTACCCTCCTTAAAAACACGTGGGAGATGCAACGTGCTCAACTGCTTCTCACCTGGTCTTTGAAACACATCTTCAGCTCGTTTGTCCCACTTCGCTAAATCCGTACATATCTCTTATTTCTTTTTGAAAATACAGATTCGTTGAAGAGGGCCATATTCCTTACTTAAATGCTTTTCAGCATTTTCCAGAAGAGATGAAATTATATGGGCGTGACAAAGGAATCTTTGCTATAGAGGCAAGTTACTTTTCTTTTTTACTTTGTAGTCCCTAATAAGATGCAAACGTGGTATGGTGATTTGTATTCCTTTCCTGACTTATTATTTGGTGTTGGGGGTTTTTAAAAATGGCATCTAGTTTTTGTTCTGCCCGTATGTAGAACATTAGTCATAATTTAATGAGTAATGGGATTATTATTTTTTATTTTCCTCGTGTGGTCTCTTCTAATCCTTTAGGTTCTCCTGAACCTACAGCTATGGTGTGAGGTGTGTCCACTGTCAATAGATGTTTGGTTGGGACTAAACTTTAGAAGTTTTCTATAGAGGGCACCTGGGTGGCTCAGTTGGTTGGGCGACTGCCTTTGGCTCAGGTCATGATCCTGGAGTCCCGGGATCGAGTCCCGCATCGGGCTCCCTGCTCAGCGGGGAGTCTGCTTCTCCTTCTGACCCTCCCCCCTCTCATGTGCTCTCTCTTTCTCATTCTCTCTCTCTCAAATAAATAAATAAAATCTTAAAAAAAAAAAAAAAGAAGAAGTTTTCTATAGAGACCTTTAGGGAATTTCAAATTTTTAAAAAATGTTTTTTGTTATTTGCATACTATATTGCTTTTGAGAAAAGAGAAGAAAGTTATTCTCTTGTTTCCGAGGTGCTATTTTAAGTCCTTTGCTTCTTGGTCTTTTCTAGATCTGTTTTCAGATGTCTCCAGTGGGAGGGCTTCTGTCCTTTAATTATGAGTCCTTATCACTATGTGTAATACTCAAAGATTATCTTCTCTTTGTTCTTCATCAGGTTTTCAGTATGCTAAATAGTAACATTAAATATTATCCCGTTTGCCCACTTAAGGAATTATTTTTATAGGCCCTCCTAACCTTCACAGCCTTAAATTATTTGTGGTTTGATTCAAGAGACATTTGTGACCCCTACCAAACCCCTGCATAAGCGTGGTTCACTGTCATCCCAGTTGTACGTATGAGCAGACACCTCAGGGAGACAGAATGAATGCCAAGGCCATACGGTCGGTGACCACAGACTTGGAGCCTTTTATTCCTTGTATCATCTTTGGCTCTGTCTACCTGCCATTCTGCCCTCCTTTTTACGCTAGTTCTTCTAAACGCTTAAGTCGGTGCTGTGAAAATATATTTTTGAAGCATTGAGCCAGAAGTGATGGATGATTGGCAATGCAGATAAACAAGCTTGCAACATTCCATAACCTTTTACATCTGCACTGAATTTAGAGTATTGGCCTCTATGAATGATTTGTAGGGAATATTAGATTTTTAAACCAGAAATGGCTCTACTTTCAGAACATCTCGTGCAGGAGCCGTTCCTGTGGGTTTAGAGAGAGGAAGCAAGTTTGGAGGCGGGTCCCCAGGGCTGCTTCCACGTCGTCACCATTTACCACACAGCCAGGAGAGCTGACGGGACAGCTCCACGTGCGCTTGCACTCGGGCTGCACAGGGAAGGGGGGTGTCGCTGCAGCTACCACTTAACCTGGAAAAAACAAAGAAGAAATAATAATAATAATAATAATAATAGTGGTAGTGCTTATTCTGTACCAGGCCCTGTTTTACATATTTTATAAACTCTTTTTATTATTCATATCATCCCTATGAAGTATGTATTATTATTATTTTTTAAGATTTTATTTATTTATTTGAGAGAGAGACAGATGGTGACAGAGATAGCAAGAGAGCACAAGGGGGGGGGGAGAGGGAGAGGGAGAGGGAGAATCAGGCTCCCCACGGAGCAGAGAGCCCAACGCGGGGCTCGATCCCAGGACTCTGGGATCATGACTTGAACTGAAGGCAGACGCTTAACCGACTGAGCCACCCAGGCGCCCCCGTATTATTATTATGCTTATACTACAGATGATGAAACTGAGACACAGAGAGATTAGGTAACTTGCCCGGTATCCTCACTCTGAACGTAGTCCAGCATGGCCGAGGCAGCCTTAGTTTGGAGGGAGACAAAAAAAGTGGAACCATACCAAGCAGTAAGGGTGGGGTGAGGGGTGGGGCAGGGACAACAGGGGCAGGAAGTGGAAGTAAGTTATTGAGGCAATAAAGAAGCTCCGGACTTGGTCGGGGAGTCACGCCTGGGTGGCTCGGTCAGCTAAGCTTCCGACTCTTGATCTTAGCTCAGCTCTTGATCTCAGGGTCGTGAGTTCGATCCCCTCATTGGGCTCCGGACTGGTTACCAAAACCAAGAGGTGGCCCTGTGATAGACATGGCAACCAGAACTGGAAGGCAGGGGATAGGATCCAGCTGGAGGATGGTCCAGGCTAGAAGTGACAGTGTGGGTACATGTGTCCTGGCACGAAGCACAGGCTAGGTAGCCGGAAGAGTCTTCCTGAAAGATGGGTCTTTATGAAAATTTTCTTAGCTTAGGCAGGTTGTGATTATTTTTAATTTTAATTTTTAAAAATTTTAAATTTGAGTAGTTGACAGACAATGTTACATTAGTTTCAGGTGTACAACAGAGTGATTCAGCGTGTCTGTCCGTTTGCGCTGTGCTCGCCACCCGTGTAGCTGCCGTCTGTCACCATACAGTGCTATTACAGTATCACTGACTAGAGTCCCGAGGCTGTACATCTTACTCCGGTGACTTAGTCGTTCCGTAACTGGAGGGTTGCAATGATTTATTTAAAGGACTAGGGACACAGAGGACACATCCTGTTTTTCTAGTCAGCACTCCAGACCCCAGCTAATTTTTCAGAGATGTGGTTGGAATAGCTGAACTTGAGTAAAGTCGGAGATATTTACAAAGTACAAGGTGCCCCTACCACCTCCGGAGCCCTGTTTGCCTCTAGGAAAAGAAAAACACAAGTTTTTAGTTTCAGAACTAGGCTGCATTCAAGGTTGATTAGTTTTTCATCTTTTTATTTTTATTTATTTAATTTTTTTTTTTAAAGATTTTTATTTATTTGACAGAGACACAGCGAGAGAGGGAACACAAGCAGGGGGAGTGGGAGAGGGAGAGAAGCAGGCTTCCCGCCAAGCAGTGAGCCGGACGCGGGGCCCGATCCCAGGACCCTGGGATCATGACCTGAGCCGAAGGCAGACGCCTAACGACTGAGCCACCCAGGCGCCCCAGTTTTTCATCTTTTTAAATAGCATCCTGTGCTCAATGAGACACATATGGATTTCCTGGGTAGGCCTCGGACAATACAGATGCTACCCTGAAACTGTCGTGTAGAAGGGGTTTTTGCTTAATAATTGGTTTGAACATCCGTATAATTCACTAATTAGCAGTATCAAATTTAGCTGCTAAAAAATTGTTCATGGCTAGACATTTAGTTCAATAATTCTTGGTGTGTGTCTTTACAGTTAAGTATTTCTAGAGGGACCAGTGGAACTCAGTTATCATTTTTGCATTAATCTCTCCAGTGTCTTTTTTTTTTTTTTTTTTAAAGATTTTATTTATTTATTTGAGAGAGAGAACACATGAGAGGGGATAGGGTCGGAGGGCAAAGCAGACTCCCTGCCGAGCAGGGAGCCCGATGCGGGACTCGATCCCGGGACTCCAGGATCATGACCTGAGCCGAAGGCAGTCGCTTAACCAACTGAGCCACCCAGGCGCCCCTCTCCAGTGTCTTGGCTAACAAAAAATTCTCTGTCTTTCCTCTTCCCTCCCTTATCCTCCCCCGTCCTTCTTACCCTCTCCTCCCACCACCCCTTCCTTCTCTTCTCTCTTAGCTTCTAGTCTGGTCTGTATCTTACATTCTAACTGCCTGGGCTTTAGCCTGATTTCTCAGAACCATTCATGACTCAAGTTATATTGATCATTTTTGCTTGGTTTAGGTTATTTGTACTTTTTGCTGGTGACTAAACTTACTTATATTTAACTCCCAAGCAAATTATAAGCTTCTAGGGGTAAACACCAGAATCTTTTACATGGAATCATGAAATATTAAAGCTGAGGGAAATTTAGACATCCCTTAGTCCACATTTCTTAGTTTTTCAGTAAGGAAGCAGGCTTAAGAAAAAAATATGATTTGGGAATAGGTAAACCTCTACCTCATTAGGGTTTTCTTGAGGATTATTTGAGATAATATCTTCAAAATACAGGTATATCATAGACATTGAAATGGACATTCCTTCTAGGTCCCAGGATGGAAAAGCTTTTCCTCTAAGGAAAAGATTAACGGTTATCCTCAAGCTACTCAGAGGAAAAAAATGTATCATTTTTGGAAATTAAAATTTTCATTTTAAAGCTCTGTTATAAACAAAACAAAAAACTTTGCATAGGCTCATTTCTGAGTTTGCTACAAGGAGGTGCCAGGAAGTTCATGGATATGACTCTTGCTTTTCATTACAGTGTTTTATAATTTTGGTTACCATAAATTCAGCTTCTTGCAAAGGATATTGCTCCCTGGGCTGAGTTTATATGCTTGGGAGTGGTAGCTAAACAGTAATTTCCTTTTGAATTAAGAAATTTGGTTTCACTTTATACTCAAATAGACACTCAAATTTCACTCTATAAAAATAAAAATAATTATTTTAAAAAATATATACCTTGTCCATTCAGATAGTAATGGATCCCATTATTGCCAAATGTTGAAATGACTGTAGGAGTGACTTATAATGCACAGAACCAAGGGACTGCTACAGTCATGGCCAGTGTGGCTTATGTTTCCCAGAAGCCTGGCTCAAGCCTTTAGCCAAGATTGGCTTTGCCCTCTTACAGGCAGTGTGGGAAGGAGTGCCTGCAATTATAGTCACATTTATTTCTGGTGGTGATTCGGGGTTTCAGCCTGAAATATTATGTTCTCACTATGGTATCAGATCTAGACTATCCTCTGCCCCTCCTAAATTTTTGTAATTTGAGACTTAAATTTTGTAAATTAAGAAACAAAATTCATTATTTTATATTTACTTTCATGTTTTATTTATGCTCTGAAACCATTCAAATACTAATTTTTACTCATCCTATCAGTTACTGAGAGAGGTGTGTTGAAATCTCCAATGTCCTAGGATTACAACTCTTTCTTTCACGTTCTATCGGTTTTTGCTTCAAGTAT